TTTCACCATGGTCGTTGCCACTTGGGGACTAACTGCTCATGTGACGTGGAATTATCTGATCTTCAGCAACACCGGTCGGCTGGACCCCAAAAAAATCCCCGTTCTGCATTCCCTCAACGTTCTCGTCAGCACCCAGAAGATTATGTTTTTCGTGGTGCCGTACTTTGCGATAGGCGGGCTGAACCTGGAGCACGTCTGGAAGCGGTTGAGATACGAAATCACCAAAGACCAGAGATACGCACACGAGGCTTACTGGAGGGCCATACAAAGGTGCCTCTTCGAGATCAACGTGGACCATTCCGGTGGACTTTCACCTACACTCATCTACGGCGCCATTGGTTTCTTCTTGGGCATGAATCTGGGCGAAGGCGACCAGGAATACACAATGTGGAACTATCGGCTCGTAGACGGCTGCAGTAATTGTACTGGTTAAAATTATTCGTATCAGTTGACCTCTGTATATTTAACATGATAGGCTTCAAAGGTATAAGCCCTATATTTGCACGTTAATTCAGAAGTTACTCATCGAAATAAATTGTTCTGCACCAACTACTACTTTTCCGTGGGAATTCGATAAGAAATTAAAGCAATGTAACCTGTAAGTACAAACTAATCTGCAACTGAAATGTATAGGTTTATATTTTTGTTAGATTCTTACCTCTTAATATACTTTAACCCTAATAAGGCCGGGCTATTTGAGGTCTTAGTACGGCCGGGGGGGGGGGGGGCATTATGGCCCCCCTTAAGATCTCGGCCGTGAAACGGCCGATCTCCGGGAAAATGTGCACACAATTGAACTGTATAGAACAATATGATAATTTCAATTTTTTGAAAAAAATCACTCATTTGCATATTTATGGTAATTTATGCAAATAAGTTCATAAAATCACATTTTTACCCATAAATCATAATTATATTATTCATATTTAAGCATTCTTTTTCGCTACATTATATTCATTAGAACATTTGGAACAATAATACGACAAAAAAATTTGGAAGAGCCAGCTTATTCCTTATGTTATCTCTTGTTTTGATAATTTCTTATGTATTTCATTGTTTTTTAACTTATGTATTTTATTGTTTTTTTTTTTTTTCATTTCTTCCTTCAATTCAACTATTTTGACTCCCAAAACAACCTCCTAAACTTTAAACAAGACCCAATAACCAATGTTTGATCTATTTTTAGGAAAAATGACATTTTCATTTGTTTTGTACACAAATCACAAAAATGAGCGATTTTCGGGCTGACATGCAAAGACAAAAGGTCACGTGACCTTGTAACTGTAGGTCCGATTTTCATTTTTTTTTAAAGATGCGCAAGACTCTAAAGAAAAAAGTCGGCGAGCGGCGGGGCGCCATCCATATGCGTTCTCGAACAATCAGAAAAATCGTGGAGGGGGGGGGGGGCATAATGGCCCCCCGGCCTTATTAGGGTTAAGCCGTACTTAAATGAATTTAGCTTACAGTCACCCTCACTTCTTATTTGAAACAAAACAAAGACAATTATAACCAAATCATAGATTATTAGAAAATAAGACTATCGGAAAAATTATATTGAACAACTTGAATGTGGCACTGACCAAGACACAATCTGGAAGAGAAATAGAATTATTATCCATATTTTTATTTGATTTTATGATTTTTTTCCCCTATATACAATGATATACATTTACAATCTTACTACTCTAAATGTGACGTGGTGTATACAGAAAAGGGGTCGTCTTAAGTATAAGCTTGAAGTGACGTCGACCCTCTCAAATGAAAATAAAAATACATACAATATAGCGATACATAATGGAGAGGAGGGAAGAAAGATAGAAAAAAAGTAAAGGAAGAGAAGGGGCAGAGAAGATTTAGGGGAGGGAGAGAAAGTTAAATTCAAATCAAGTCGTGCGTGTGATAATATTCACTTTTTGACATCTACTGTTCATGACGACATAGGGACATTCATGGGGTCTGCCCAAGTAGCAGTACCTAGATTCATGACGAATTGACAGTTCCAAGTTGAACGTCAAAGATAACGCATTGATCCTTTCTTACAAGACGATCCTGTTAACCTGATGCAGATTATGAAACAGAAATAATTATACTTGAATCTATTTGAAGCACTTTCGGGGTACTGAATTATGTTTTTCATAAGGAGGAAATGACATGGACTTTATTAGGATTTCACACAGCACACGCAAGTTTATATTGTTGTATTTCCTCCACAGTTTTCAAGTCTAACTTGTGAACAGTAAATATAATATATCGAGCTGTTTGAAGGCCCCTAAAAACAAAATCTTTGAGGGTCTACCTGCGATTCCGCCATCTCAATCTGTTCATTGTGGATATGCGACTAATAATATAATATTTATAAAGCGCATAATATACAAAAGTTTCTTGACTAGTTGAAACAATGTAAAGAAAAAAAATAGTTAAACGTGCTTTGATTTCAAAATTACGCTAGATATATTATGTACTTTAATTTTATATAAAGTGGAAAACCATTTTATTTTAATCCCATCCTGTCTTTTTCAAGGTAGGTCTATCATTGTGATGGTTGTAATTGTCGTAGTTAATTTGTCTTTGGTGTTGGTGAGTACCTGTGAATATGAAAACGGAGAGTAAAGGTAAAATTAAGTGCAACGGACATTTTCCCCTTTTTTCCATAACAAAATGCATGTTTACCCAGGCGCAAGATCATCAATTATTCACAAGGAAACAAACTTGATAATGAGAGTAATTTTGGGCCGAGTCAGTATAGCGTAGCGTGATTCCAACCATGCAAGGAGGGCCAGTGGACAATTTTTCAAGGCCCCTGATTACGGGAAGGGGTCCTATATCCTATTCTTCTCTCGTCTTTTTTTTTCGCAATTTCTCTCTCTCTTTTCACATTTACCTTCTTTTCCTTTCTTTCATCGCCACTGGATGGAGAGAACGAAATATCCCTTCTGTCAGAAGCCTTGTTCATAAAAAAGGCAAAGTTCGTATTTTCTTAACACCCCATGCAGGGACTCGTTGCATAAAGCTAGCATTTATGGTATTTTAGCCCGTAAAAGTAACTTGATTAGATTGGCTAATTAGTGATGATGCCAAGGTAGTTAATACTGATAAAAAAAGTTACCATCATAATACAACAGGGCCCTGGATTACGATTACTCCATACAAAATGGGGAAAAACGATTCGTAGGAACCAGGAGGTTTTAAAAGATGAATGGGGGGGGGGGGGGTATTTGTATTTACTTGTATAGGTTCTTACCTTTGGTTTTGTACATGTGCCTTGAGATTTATTTTTCGTTGGGGGGGGGGGCTTAAGATTGATCTTGAGCCTTTAAACTTGTATAACTATCTTACGATTATGTACGTATTTTTCAGTATATTTTCCTCTTCTTTTCCCCCCTTTTCCTCTATCTCTTTTTATTTATCTTATGTATAGATTATGATTATTCAATACGTAGCTTGTATGTATCATTATCTGCTTTGTCATGGCGACGCGATCACAAGCCCTTTGCTTATAAAGAAGTTTGCCTCCTTCCTTCATTGCAAATTCATTTTTATGATTATGTTCATTTTTTTTTTGAAAGAAAATAAATGTTTGCTGAATCGAATTGATTTTAAATCAAAAGCCTTTTTTCCCCTTCTTCCTCCATTGTTCACGTTCACTCATTAACTTCGACTGAGATTTCTTTTTATCGAATTCAACTTCCTGTGAGTAAATCACATCTGCCTATATCTATCTCCGATCTAGTTCCCTCCCCCGCCCCTCCCCCGCCCCTCCCCCGCCCAAACCCACACAATTTCATAATTCTCCACTGATAGACGTCAGGTAGGACCCACCCCAAACTTTGCATCACTTGGACCCAATTTTCCGCCTGACTTTTATTAGTTTTTGATGGCTCTTTCCCGCACCCCATCTACATCGTTGTGGAGCAGTGAGACTACACAGAGATGAGGGTGAGAGAGAGGGAGGGAGGGAGGGAGAAAGAAAGAGAGAGAGAGAGAGAGAGATAGAGAGAGAGAGGAGAGAGAGAGAGAGGGGGGGGGGGGGAGGTGGGGATGAGGGAGAGAGGGGGAGGAGCGGAGTTTCAATGCATCCGATTTCTTCAAACATTTTACTGGGGTCCAAACCTATAACGGCAAACAACGCTAATAAATGTAATATAAAAGAAAGCACGAACACTTATTTATTGAGCTTCCGGCCCTCGACCCCATCACGCCGTACGTTAGACGATGTGCTTTAATTAGTGCGCCCTATTTAAACTGCCAAATTGGGACCCAAAATATTAATATATTACATTAAAGGTACTATGTCCCTTTTGCAGCCAACCTCAAATGCTGTAGAACTTCGCAGGAATTATGAATATGTCATGTATGTCCTATCTGTTAAATTTAAACGTTAGCAGTGTCCTCATATTCAAATTATACAAGGAAACCCGTTTACTTGCTAGACTACACTGTCAGACACTATTGAGTGACTGACTGGCTTTTTTTTCTTCTTTGGTAATAACATACATGAAAAGAGTTGTAAAGGGCATTTGTCTACATCAATAACCCACTTCTTGTGATGGCCAAGATTAAACTGATTGAATCTTTGCGCAGCATAAAACGTATGACCATTCGGTACAATTGTCTGAAAATCAAGACTATTACTTTTGGGCTCTATAGCCCTAAAGTCGATTTGACAAGTAATAGTCGTTATTTTCCCACTTGAAGACATTTTCAAGCCCCACCTTTTCTAGGGAAGTTCTAAATTAGTATTATCTTTCAAATGCAGTTGGAATTTAACTTTTTCATTTTTTGGGCCTGCAAATGGGACTAATAGTCCCTTTAAACATCGGTTTCAGCAACCTTCTCCCACCCCCCCCCCCCCTCCCTTCTCATTACGAATCCTGCACACGCCCATTCCATTTATTACTGTTGCGTGTGCACCCTTTTTTACCCACCTGCTGCAGCTAACAGACTCACCCCTCCTGTTCGTTCGAGCGTGCAGCATGCATAGCAACCGTTTGTACTGGGGCCAGCGCCAGCATACCGCATTGCATGCCCGGGATTGAAGATGTCAACATTGCACTAGCTATTCGCACGCGAGCGGTGCTTATTCCGCCGCCCTAACCTTCTCCCGACCGATATCGCTGTCTCCCGCTGGCCTTGGCGTCTTTGCCGCGGTGTAGCTGTAGCTGATCTAGGCAATCATAAACAACACATTCATTGGGATTTGTCGTGCACTCGACATGATTCATCTTTAAACTTTAGGGATGGAGAAACAAATCAACAAGAATAACTGACATTGTCACCACTACATCTGCACTCAAGCAAGGATTCAAATTCAAAGTGTCACAAATTAGGGGATATCTTGACAAACTCGGTCAATTCAGTCCGATTCAGTCAAGAATTTCTTCACAGAAAACAGACAGTGAGACACAGGATAAAATGGCAGAGACAACTTTAATCCGTAACTTTTCTTCGAGCACGTCGCATGCATCAGGAAGATTTGTATTGCCATATTTACCAACGGATCCTCCAAGATTCAACCCTCATGCACTTTCTTACTCCATGTAAGTATGATCTCATGCATTGAATGAATGTAATGATTGTAGGCCTAATCAATGTCTACTAGATCTAGACCCTAGTTGATTTTTGGGGTTGCTCAAGGAAGAGTACAACTCAAACTTAAGAAACAACTACTTTTTGAATGATTTTGTTTTGGTGGCCAGATCTGCAGATTAACAATAACAAAAATACAGACTATTTTTATGCTTCTCATTTTGTTGTTCATGTTGTGTAGGCTATATTAAACAATAATTTTCTTCATGTGTACAGATCGATCATCTGAAAAAGGAAAAATAGACCGAGACTTAGTCTAGACTTAGATTAGAGCTCCACAAAATGCATGATTATTTAACCAATTTTATTTTACCAAACATGAGCAACTAATCCCATTTTGATTATTGGTTGCCTACCAAAGCAGTTTCATGTCCCTGACAAACAGGATCCTGCTTATATCAAGCCTTGTGTAAATGTGTGTAGGGTCTATGACTAAACTATGAAAAGTATGACTATGAGTATGAGAATTGAGATGGGACTATAATGTGTTATAACTAAGAAGGGTGTTATATTATATGATGTAATTTCGGTGTATAATATGATTTTGTTTGATAGGGCCCTGCAGAGTGCTCCTTTCACCGCTCTCAAAGGTGTCGTAGTAGACGGCAGGCAACCACCAAGGGTAAGTTTAGATTTCATTTTACTGTCTTTGTTTTGCTTTGAAATTATATGTGATATCACGTTACATATAATAAATGTAAGTATATGCCATATGCCCTAGGCCCTTGCAGTGACCATAGGAATTCTCCACAGGGAGTGGAAATTGTGCACACAGTGTGTGTGAATGAATCCAATGACCTGGGTAAGAGAAGGTATTACCTTAGAGAAGGTATTCCATATTAAGGGCTATATGAATCCTTGTTTAATATTATTAACTGTTACATTCAACAGATTTGATTTTGTCAGTTTTTAATTTAGAAAATCTTATTGCGTTTACTTGACAGCACCCTGAGTCTCCTCGCTTCAGGATACGGAAGCAGGTAGGAGGGACAAACAGATGGAGGCTTCCGGAGTCACTTGGAGGTGATCTTCTAGGAACTTCTCAAGCCATTCGATCTACCAATGAACCTTACAACAAGAACACTATAGCTATTCTATCAGGTAATATTGTAATTAATGAACCGCATTTAGTTGAGGGGGCTCCCAGGCTCTGGTGGTGGTGATGGGGGGGGGGGGGGATTTATGAGGTAGAGCAAGGCCATTGATGAGGGCTTCCTTTCCCTTCTCCCTTTTGTTTATTCTTTCTATTCTTTAAAAAAAAATTAATTATTAATGTTTGTCCTTTTTATTCTTCCTTTGAATGTAATATTCAACCCTTTATTTCAGAATTTTTTCTTTGGAAAGGTGTTTTGCCTTAAATATACTTTCTCTCACAGAAAATTGACTATGAAATAAAAGGAAATTTTGTCTCAGAAATAGTGTACAATGAATGACTGAAATTTCCTGTTATGTATCTCATTGCTGATTGATATCCTTACAAAATCATTTCATTCTCTTTCCTCCTCAGCTGATAACCCTGCTACTACAGTCAACCGTGACCTTGATCGTCCTTACCAGTTTCACTCCACGGAGGGTCATGCTAAGCCGATGACAGCCCCAGCTCCAGCTCAGTTTGGTAGTGAGAGCTGGTATAACCAGAGGGTTCCCAGTCCTCAGCCTCCTGCTACAGCTCCACTCCATGGCAAGAAACCAACACAGTGAGTTAGTCTCTTCATTGACTAGGAAAGCTGTCTGAGTGTACAATACTACATTCATTATATTGTGATCTGTACTTGGAAATCCCCAAATTGTGCAGGACTCTGATCTCTATGGCATGCACCAACTTATAATGGGTTGCCTTTGATTCAGACTTGAATGTAATCTTCATGGCTTTGGTCATAATCATTTCCATTGATTCCAACAAGATTTTCTTTGGACTTTTCAAGATTTCATAGAAATGCCTGCCAAAATTCTGCTGGTAGCTGAGTTATAAGCAAAAAAATGAAATGAATTTAGCCAGTAGTCACTCCAGATCATACCATGCATTCACATTTGAGTTGCAAAATTTGATTTGAATGTGATTTCAAGCAAGTTTTTCTTTGCTTATATTAAATTATTGCTGGTCCAGACAACCCATTAACACAACAACAATATTCAAGTGTATCAGTATTCCATCTGCTTGTACAAGTACTCCTGGAAGATTGAATTGTTTGATTTGATTGTTTTCAGACATCCTGCTCCAATTGAGAAATTCCGACCAATGTCTGCCAGGTCTCCTACACCTGTAGATATCTTCCATTATCATTCAGCTCCTGTACACAGTCTGCTTGGACCTGGTAAGTACAGTCTTCTTCTCGTCATTCCAGCTTTATTGAAACCTGTATGTAAAGACTACTCAAGGGAGACAAGAAATGTAGTCTTTGCAAGCGGGTGGTCTTTATGATCAAGGTCTGTGGTACAGGTTTCACTAGTAAGAAACACTGTTGAAGGCAAACAGGAAGAGGGAGATTTATAGACTGTTGGTTAATATAGCTGGTTTAATTATATCATATGATGTCAAATAACCCTATTTGGTCAGGAAATATTAACCTTACAGTATTGTTGATTATTTTTACGCCTTACATTATTAATATGGTAACTTTATGACCTGACTTCAGATGGATTTTCAAAGACATTGACATATGACTAAATATGAAACTTTATTGTATGTTGTGTATACTTGACATATAAAACCACTTGTAAATTAATTCTTATTTTCTACTAGACATCTTGCTTCAATGTTTGGATACAAACTGGGAGTTGCACCGTCCCTACATCCGCAAGGCATGCACTCTAACACAGTTACTCCAGAGAGCTGAAGATAAACCGCATGAAGAGCTCTACTACAGAGATCCTATGTCAGCTACGGTAGATCAGTATATCAGCAAGAGCCAATTCTACAGGTGAATGTTGTAACTTCTTGATTACTGCCATATAGATCTGCTGATATTGGCTGAATTGCACTCCGTTTAAGTCACAAACTACCAATTGAACTTAAATTTTGGATGACAACCAGGATATCTACAGGATTACCTCATTCCCGTATATCAGATGGCGATGATATCGGCTGAATAGTAGGACGGTAGTCCGCCTCATACCTCATATTGTGAGATATGGGCCCTGTTTCATTAAACTTGTTATCAATAACAACTGACACAGATCTATGACAAATCTGCTCATAGCCAATCAAATGCAAACATTTCAGTAGCTTATAACAATTATCAGAACTTATTATTGATAACAAGTTTTATGAAACAGAGTCCTGTATCTTACACCATTCATCACTGCAATCGTTAAACATCAATTGGTCCAAAATTGTTGTAATTGTTACGTGCATACATGAAATTTATAGTAGTTGGATATGAAGTGCACAGTTGGAGCATTGGACCTTAAAGTAAATCTTGCATTAAATAACGTCTTTTTTCAATCAACAAATAAAAGATTAAAAGGTAGACACACATTTCATTTCTTCTAAAAAAAATATCGAAGAAATAATAAACTGAGAATGGGTATTAATCCAATCTAAAGGTAATATATGTTTGAGATTACTGTCTAAATTATCCTTTAGCTGAGTCTTCAAAATCTGCATTGTTTACATTTCTTTCAGCTCTGAATATCAGAAGATTAGCAGAGAGCAGAGCACACAGCCAGCTCCTACAGACAGCATCAAACAGACACCTAAGAAAGATATCAACCACCCATCACATATCGTTGCAGCTAGGACTAGTAACATGGTGAAACTCAAGCTAAAAATCAAAGATTCTATGGTATCCAAGGAAGGTATGTATAGATGTAGATATAATAAAGAGAGTGGTAATGCTACGGTCACAAAGGTTTGTATGAACGATAATTTCGTACAAATATCCGTTTTTCCATTGTCTGAAAATCGTTCATACAGCGTTCGTAGCAGTTCGTAATGGCATTTGTGACTTAGGCTTTAATTCAATCATCGTTATCATATGATATGTGATATTCCTAATATCATTATTAGTATTGATATTAATGATAATGATATTAATGATATATTCATGAATTTGTCCACAAGTTAGTAGTATTATGCCTTAATTGGATGATATTATAAATGGTACCTAATCATCATCATCATTATCGTCATTATCATCGTAACCACGATCATCATCTTCATCATTAGCATTATCATCACCATCATCAAAATTACAATCATCATTATCATCATCACCATCTTCATCTTCAATATCATCATCACCATCTTCATCTTCAATATCATCACAATTATCATTATTCTTCTCATCACTATTGTATTATGATTCATTACAGCTTTTGCCATAGCCCTTGGTAACCTCTACCATGAAGGTGTCAACCCTGAGCGCACTGATGTGGTCGGTGTCCTAGCTTCTGGTCATGCCTTGGGATTCCCAGACCTTGAGAGGAGGTAGGTACTCACTGGAAAAGTGTCCTCAGATTTCAAAACATTTAGGAAGTCAGAGGGGTGTTTCATAAAGCTGTGCGTAAATTTACGCATGACTTTACAAATGACTTGAATATGAAGGGCTAAATGGGATTCTCAAATCCTTTTAATTGCATTTAAGCTAAAAATTAAATATTAAGATGTAGATTAACCTTATTATTATTAACAAAACATTTTAATGCAAAGTGTATATTTGGCTGCAGTTTAATTGAGATTATGGAAATACAGTCTCACTTTTTTAAATTTCAGGAAAAACTTTGGGCATCCCATTTGGCTCTTCATATTCAAATCATTTGTAAAGTCATTCGTAACAGTACGCACAGCTTTATGAAACACCCCCTGGTTTGATGTGAATGCAATCTTGACCTTGTTGTGATGAGCATTATAATGTAATAGGATTTTATGTTTTGGAAAACTTCTGTCAAGTCCATAATAATGAGTGGAAAATCATTTAAAGTAGACTTTAAAATTTAACAGAAATTTTGAACATTGTAACACAAAAGAAACAATGTAGTATATTCATATCTGTCCCCTGTTTCATAAAAACTTGTCATCAATTATAAATGCCAAATTTCTGTGACAAATTTGCTCTCAGCCAATCAAATACCACAATTTCAGTAACTTATAACACTTATGATAACTTATTATTGATAGTTTTGTGATATAGGGCCCATATTTGGTTTAGGAATTATTCTCTCACAATTCAATTGCTCAACCAAGCCATTCCTGGTTATTAACACTTTGACCCAGCATGACCTGTAATAAAAGTCTGATGAATTATTCTAATCCATCGATTTGAAATTGTTTCTCTCTCTCTCTCTCTGATAGGTGTGCTGATATTATGATGGATGACATTCAAGCTAATACAGTGTGTAGATATCACCAGGCTGCACTCAAGGTAATTATATTTCTTGTTACACTGTAAAAGAGTTCTTTTATTCATTATTGCTTATCTGCTAATAATAGCCTGAGGAAAAAAGGTTTCAAAATACATCATAATTTATATAGTTTGGTGATATATGAAACAATATATTTTCATGACTTGTATGTTTATCTGTTTTCTATTTTCACACACATGTTTATTTCTTTCCTTATTTTCACATTTCAGTACAAGATTGGTCAGGTGGTGAATGCATGTGAACGTTGGTTAGAACTCAATCTGATTCCACAGGTAAGGCAATAATTTCATGATCTCAATGAAAAGGGCAAAATAAAATAGATGTGATACATTTGTGTAGGGTAATGATAATGGACATTTGCAGATGCTATTTGCTTCTTTTTAAAACATGATCTAGAAATCTTTTTAACAAACATGTTTAAAAGGAAATGTTATACTTTGGTTTCTATAATAAAAGTGTTCATTAATACATAAGTTTAGGGCTAAACATTTTCCAAAGGTAATTAATACCTCTAGAATTGGAACATATTTTTAAGGTGCGAACAGTTCAAGTTCCTATTCTTCAAAAATTAATGAAATAGTTGATTTTTTTTTCCCCTCATGACAGTTGTCAGTTCAGATCCAGCTGAGACAGTTACCGATCGAACTCCTTCAGAAGATCATTAAATCAAGCAGGTCAGTGATTGGAGTATTGAGAAATAGTTTCTTCATGGGAAGGGAGGGGAGGGAATTCAGTTACAGCTCATTGACTTAACCCTCAATATTCAGGGAAGTGTTACTTTTATACTTTAAAGTGAAAATGGAAGATTCTCTATGTATGCATCTCAATACCTCACCTTCTTTAGTGGAGGACTCACAAAAGTAGATTTTGGGTGGATTGTAGACTATTTTATAAGATTACTCATTTTGATTTGGAGAAAAGAAATGACTGGCATTGTGAGCTTGCAATGTATGAATGCAAACAAAAAATTGAGGCCATTGGTGAAGACTGGTTTGCCCACATCGCTGGTATTGTTTCTTTGCTGTATCTTGCATGTATATTACGGACCCTATCTATTTCACAGGTTCTTTACCTTCAATGAGTACTATGTGTACAAGATGCTGTGCTACTGGATATTTCTTCAGGAGAATGATCACCTTCAGTTGATGCCATCCCATAGTACCATCGTCACATTCTTCAACAGGTATACACTTCTTCTTTTTTTTTTGGGGGGGGGGGGGGTTGTTGTTATTGTTGTTGTTGTTGTTGGAACTATGTTCATGTTGACAGTTGTTTGGTTAAATATCTTTGCAACATACATGAGGTTTAGAGGTTGAATTATCTGTGCATGATCTTAATTGTAATTTTTTTACTGATTGATGATGACATTTGTCAAATGTAAAAGGTCAAGATATTACAGGGGTGCATGTTGTAGCAAAGGACCAGAGTCGTACCATATAGACAGGGCCCCCGCTTACTTTGATTTTCTGAGGATCTGAAGTAACATTTTGTGGGACTTTGTGTAACACACCTCTGATACTTTGGGGATCTATGTGTACGGGACCACTGCTAATGTCAAGCTAAGTTGAAGATGTAGTCATTAAAGTTGCTCAAGCGTGGGTATATAGAGGGCAGCACACAGACGTATGCACAGGAGCGTAATACCCGTTGGCTAAGTATTATAACGACTACATGCATGAACTTGTTTAAACTCATTTTTAATTTTTTTTTTCCTGCTTTCAGTATGTCACGGTCCAGTGCTTTCATAGAGCAGGAGAGAGGACAGCCCTACGCAGGTCTCTTCATGTCATTAAGGATGAGTGGCATCACAGATACACGACATCTAGATGATATGCTTCAGATGAATGTAGTACCTAATCAGTGGATCCTACGTACCCTGACCTTACACTACCATGCCTTACAGGGTGGTGGAGATATGTCCCTCATGCAGGACTTCAAGAAGGATGCCATCAGACTTGGCTTCATCATTGAACAGGTAGGTGTGAGTCATACCTGACTCGATGTCCCGGCAGTGATCCAACAAACCGTCTGGTTTGCCATAAGATGCATTGAATCAATCAATCTAAGCCATGAGGGATTGCTAGTAACTTTCATGAAATATTTAGATGTCAAAGAAGAAACATTCATTTATCAAATTAAGTTATTTCAAATCATTTCAAATTTATTGAAGTAAGTTCACCATTTAAGGATCAGAGAATGAAAACACAAGAGGGAAAGGGGAGAATGATAGAGACGTTAAAATGATGTGGAGCAGAATAGAAAGAGAAATAGGAAAGGTATCATTATTTTTTTTTTTTCTTTTCAATGATTAGGAGCCTCGTTATCACTGTGAAGTGATCTCTGTGCATGGGTTTCACTTTGAGTTGAAGGCACAGCGTGTTGGCAAACAGAACTCATATCAGTTCTATATTCAGGTAAGCTGTCTCTGTTATATACTATATATTTATCTTCATGAACTTTATGCCTATATATGATATCGATATGCTTTTATCAATGCTCTTTTGAGTTGATCAAGAAATTTACAATGTTACAATTCAGAAAATAGAAAGAAGTTATCTTATCATTCATCAAGTCATTATGTAGATTGCTCTACCTCAAATGTCAGATCACCTCTGAGAGGATTATTTATGAAATCAAAATAACTGTTTCATTTCCTAGAAATTAGATAGCTCAACTTATTCTTCTTTACTATCCTCATCTTTTATTCAATTGGGCGAAAAATCGGTGTATTTGATTTTTAATCAGATTAATTTATACTTCAAAATATTTTGTTTGTTTTGGGTCTAACAGCGATTGAAGCCCCGCGATCCTGCCCTGTCCTTCCGTGTCTGTGAGCGTCAGACGTTCTCTTTGCGTCAGGACCGAGAAGTCCTCTATTCCATCCGGATCCAGAGCCGCATCAAAGGCCAGGACTATGCCTTCAACACAGGCATCCTAGGCAAGAGGTTTGGACTAGGACCCAATACCTGCAAGAGTGAGGTCCTAACCCTGGAGGGGTTGTGTTTACCCCTCTACATCACCTACTCCCTCCTCTTCCCACCTTCCTAAAGAGAACTCATTCACACATGGGACTTGATCATCAACATGCTTTGTAGGTTGAATATTAATTAAGAAAACCAATGCAATGGAATTTTTAAAAAACAGACAAAAACGAAATTTGAGGGAAAAAATAAAGCAAATCAACCAAGCTTTCTTATGATTTCAAGTTTAACATTTATGTTTTATTAATAAAAGTTGATAAATAAGTGATATAAACTGGCACATCACAAGTATGAGATTTACACAGTAACTTAAAATACACTTCTTCATTCCATTACAGCATTTACATTCCACTTGTAAGACTTATATTATTGACAGTGTCTTATTTTTATAAACAATTCAAGTATTTACTTTCTGTATTGAATGTGATGTGGAGTTTTGGCGATGTGTGTACAATTACAGGAAATATGTGTGGTTGCTACTGTATATGAGTGCTTGAAAGCATTAATATTACATTATATTATTGAAATACAATATATAGTTTAGAGTTTATAATTCAGATAGAGAGTACAAACAAGGGACCACTTGAGGTAGTTTTGAGGTGTTCTATATCAGATTTATTACATATTCACATATCAGTATCAGATATTACAGTGGATGCTACCTGTTATCAGGTCTGTCTGGAGTGTTAACTCATATACTTTAACACAGAGTTATCACCTATTTGGCTCTCAACAGATGACCTTTTAGACTTGATTATGTGTTTACAAGTATCTTAATGAATAATTTTAATTGGAAAAAACATACATTAGTGTATTAATACATGTTTTTGGCTACACAAGAAGTCACTACTTTATTGTAAACAATGATACCTACGATCTTTAATAAAAGGGCATTTAAAACCAAGCAAATTCTAATCATGATAACAGATTTGATATTCTTTTCATTCAAGGTAATATCACATTTGCTGTGCCTTGTTTTTGGACATGTCAAAGACAAAATTGATGTTTTTGTTGCATATAACCAACTTTTGCATTATTTCCTTGTATTATCCATTATTATAATGGGATGAGTTTGCACATGTTTCATTACATTCCTCTATATTATTGGGCTCAAAGTATAGAATACCTTGCTTATATTCAGTAAAGCAACAAAGGTCTATGATAATCAATATTTGGAACTGCTCTCAAAACATAAGGATGTCAGATTAGACACATATATATTGCCTTAAAAGTGTATTCATGGTAAAAAGTGGCAAGGCTTTGAATATAAGTACACGTTAAATATATTTTTTATGCAATACAAAATATAAACATACTAAATTATACTTAATATAGACCAGGGACCAGTATCACAAAGCCTCTTTTCAGTGACAAATGACAAAAATCAGTGACAAATCTGTTGATAACCAATCAGAAGCAAGGATTTCAGTAGCTTATAACGTAGCCTGCCATTTGTCACTGACGACAAGTTTTGTGAAACGGGACCCTGATTATAAATAATTATGATATGTCAAATAATAAAAATTCAAAATTATATTAAATAATATATATATATATATATATATATATATCATATTGCTCGTACATCTAATAATAATTATAATTATATTTTATTAAACAGGACAAGTGCAGATCAGAAAGTCAGATGTATCGTATATATTTATACAGAGTGTAATATATAGATAATTTATGAAAACAGGCTGAAGAAAATGACAGATTTTATATCTTGGTAGTTTACATCTAGCTAAAAGCATTCAGTGTGTACATGTGATTGACATGATTTAATTGATCAACCAACTCTTATTAAGTAATATGGGACTGAAGAACTCTTCTCCTAAATTGAAATTGCACTGTGTATATCAGTTGAATATCATGCATATAATTGTTAATATTACCAACAAAATACAGGATTCAAATCTAATTAAGCACACAATCAAAGAAGACAATATTGTAGTTGCTACTTGATCTTCATCGGTGATGCCTTACACAATGTAAATACTTTACTTCTTGCAGCTGATGTAAATATACTTCTTTTGCAGAGAATTATTGTACACAAGATTTAAAACCAAAGACTGACAGCCTTTGGCAACTTCTGTAGATAATGACTTTGTTGTTTTTGTTTCTAGGGTAAATGGGAACAAACAAAAAACAAGCAGAAACCTGTATTATTTCTATGATCCACATTTTATAAAATGTTTAAAAAACTATTAATCCTACTGCAAAATTAGCATTTAATGATATATGAAAATATTTCATTAATCTATTTATTGTTTTTTGTAACCATTGACAATCAAATTGTGATAAATGCTTGTTTACTAATTTTTTGTATGTGTGTGCATTCAATGCATTGTTTGAAATATAATAAAGCAAAGATTATTAATCACTGATTGTCTTTCTGTGTCCAGATTAAATTCTTCCTATACATGTAAGTCTGTCAGAATTGATACTCGTAGACTTTAGAGTTACCACAAAAAGTCACAATTTGTAAAGACATTTCAGTGTGTCTTGACTATGGTTGATACATCTTCCAGTGTAGATAATGCTAATCGTTGTTCATCATGCAGTTCACCTGCAATCTTTGGTTGGGTTGTTAGTTACTCTGTGCTGTACCTGGTTCCATTATTCATCAGATCTCCATTAAAGAGAGGCTACCAACAAGGACAGAAGGAAAGACAAGATTTAAAAAACACTATTATACTTTGAACATTGTTAATTCTAAAAGGCAAAACTCCAATGTAAAAAAAAAAGAAAGTTGTAAACATCTCCATAGTGATGGAAGTAGGCTGTAACGAGTTCATCTTCCCTTTAAAACAAAGCATTCCCCCACTCTTCACATATTTTGGTCTCGGAGACTGTATGATATAATGAATTTTACATTTCTTTACTCTGCTCTTATAATGATATCTCATCTCATACACACCCGTCTCTAGTTCTCAACGTTATTACTATGGTATGAAAACTATGTAGGGGGACCCATGGTTGTCACAACAGAGAAGGGGGAGGGGAGGGCTCTATCCCTAGGACCTACTCCTTTTTTTTCTTCAAAGAGATGGGTAGCCTTTTTTTTTCTTTCCCAACTGCTTCTGTTAAAAGGCTGCAGTTATGTAGTCGGCATGATGATATATTGTACCTTCTGTAGTCTAGTATATAGATGATACGATGAAGGACATTGTTGATTGGGCAGTCCGGCGCTGTCATGTGGTCATATGGCTCTACACCAGGGATAGAAACAATACACAATGGAAGTTGATTTTTCCTATATTCAATGCCTGGACATTCATTTTTGCGATTTGAGTATAGTTGCTAAATTAAACTCCAGAGGTAGGCCTAGCATCGAAAGAAGAATAATAAAACAGTGTAACAACAAATTGTCTTGTTATTTGAAATTGTTTTGGCAATCCAATGAACACAAATTGTAAATATGCTTGTCTCTTCCAAATTTGGGTATTCCTTCAAACTTCCCTGTCTATAAATATACCATTGTATTAAACCCTTCTTGAAAGAAAAAAAAAATGCTTGACAGAAATCGTTCCTGGGGCGGGTAGGGGTGGTAATGAATTCCATGATTTGTAACAGTCATGATATTTGCGCCAATGCTGATACGACAAAGTGATTTCATATTATTTGTTATATACCTCACTTAAGAAATTCAGCTATCTGATCGGTCGAAATTGGAGTAGTGATTTTAGCCATTCCCGTAAAGAAACGAGAAATGCCAATGCCAGTTATAAGTCCAAGAGTGAGATGCCTCAAAATTCCGGTTACCATGAAAATACTGCCCCATTCTTAAAATCTTCATAGTCCGAAGTGATATGCTTAAAGTAATTAAACAAAATATTATATACAATCACTCTTACCCATCTGGTCGTCATTCTGCTCCAAGAAGACATATCACCTTGGTCCATTCGTCTTCAGGATCCAAGTCTATTGTATACATCAGATCAGGGCTTGGTTCCATATTGATCAGTATAGATCCAGATCTGGTAGGATCACAGTCATGGCTTAGTCTATAGCTCCTGGTTCTAGCAGTCGATAGTCTGGGTAGCTCCATGATGTGATGCCATTTTGGTTCAACCATTCTGATTTGCCGTGGTAGCGTTGTACCGGCTGCAGGAGTGCTCCTTATTCCTTGAAAATTCTCGTTTTAAAATGTGAAAACTCTCGAATGGAGGGAAAACATTATCAAGGTGAAGCAGGATATAATAAATGCATGGATGCATGGTGGCCAAGTTTTCATGGGTGAAATCTTACCTTGAAGCATGGACCTACTAATCCATGCTTGAAGAGACACGGCTTAGACCTTGAGATGTTTTGCATAATCCGCTAAAGAAACAGTACAGTTTTCGTCCGCCCCACGTCTGAATCTGGAAATGAACCTGCAGAAATAAGCCTGTAGGTTAAATGAAGCAAATCCATTTCTGGTGGCCAAGTTTGTTAGATTCATTAGTACTTACCCACCTCGATCTCACACGAAGCTCGAATGAAGATTATAATGATGTTCCTGGAGCATCACTCAGATGATTCACAATCACGGGATGGTGACGCCACAGGACAGCAGGTGATCTACAAGTGTCACCTGGCGACATTGCGATGCGAAACTCCAATTCTTGACGACACTGTAAAACCCTGTTTTATGAAAAGTTATTGATTTGAGAGAGTATGAGGCTTGGGAATGGTTAAGATGAGTAAAAACCCTAAATATGGTGGCCAAGTTTGTAAGATTCGTTGGGTCATTTACTGACCTTTCATACAAACCTCGAACCAAGATGTGTTCCTGATGAGGCATGCGTGGATTCAGATGATCCCACGTCTTCATTATGGTGACACCACAGGAGACACAGATGATTCAGAACCTCCCCCTGAAGACGCTTCGATGGGAAGATCATAAATCTTTTAACCCTGTATTATGTAATGTGTTTGAGAGAGAGAAAGAGGGTATGCATGGGAATGGTGGCCAAGTTTGTTAGATTCGTTAGATTATTTACTCACCTTTTACACAAACCTCTAATTGAGATGATCATGGTGTTCCAGAAACGTCAATTCGGATAATCCCAAGTCATTAGGCTACATGACGACTCCATAGGGCAGATAGAAGATTCCGAACCGTCATCTGAAGACACTGCGATGTGAAGATCCTAAATCTTATCTTGACAACCTGTAAAACTATCTTATCGAATGTTATGTTGAAGAAAGATAGAGAATACTATATGTGCTTGGGAAAAGTTTAAAACAACTTTAAACTTCTGGAGAAAACCTCGCTTGTGGCCAAGCTTTTATCAGTTAACTGCGTTCATAACTTACCTCTGTGGCAATGGCTGATGACAAAGAGAAAGGTTAATGATTAACAAAACCTCTTTCACTGAGTGTGCTCTCCTCAATGGATGGGGAATTATATTTTCCTCAAAGTCCTTCAATTCCGCAATTGTGAATTCTCTCTCTCTCGCTCTCTCTCTCTCTCTTTGCTATTAATCTATAATTCTTTCAACCACAAAAAAATGTCAAAAATTATACCAGTTTCAACTGAAAGCAACTCTACTAGAATATTGTTGATATTGTAATGATTTTTGTTGTTATAGACATGAATGATACATGTACCATCGTGAAGTATTGCTGTATTCTTACATGGAAGTCTTTAATGTGAAAGAAAAAAAGAATTTGGTTTCATAATTATATTGTGTCATATAATATGTGACCGAAAGGGAAAAGCAAACTTATCTTATATCATAAGAAGGATTAATATTAGTAAAAAGATTATATTTGAATGTCTCAATTTAATCATGATGAGTTAATTTCCGGGTTAATTTATAACCAAGCTCAGCATTACGTACGGCTACCAGCTGGACTAGGCTTTGGTCGCCCAGGCGTTTGATCAGGCCTTCTTGCAGATTGAGCCCACCCTGTTGAATCTCCATTCCTACGGTTCTCTCTCTCAAGAAATTCATTAAGCGGCTGGAAGTATTCCAAGAGCGGTGACGTATCGAGGTTGTACTGTTGGGTCAAGATGTAGAAGATCTCGGTCCATGAGCGTGTTTTACCCAGCTGCATAGCAGTGCTAGGATAGAGAGATACATAATATAGAGAGAGATATAGATTGATTGATTGAGAGAGATATATACTACATGTTTATAGATAGAGATAGTTAAGTAAATAGATAGATATATATATATATAGGTAGATAGAGAAATAGATATATACATACATACATAATATAGATAGAAAGATAAAACAGTGAGAGAGAGAGAGAGAGAGGGGGTGGAGAGAGGGAGAGATAGAACGAGATATAAACTCATATTCACCAGACTTATATTGTTAGGTCATGTAGTTCCTTGAAACTGATGATGATCAGAGAGCTTACCCAGAAGTTTATCTACAAACTCAAAGTTATCAAAATGAAGTTCCCAAATTAACAGAATAGTGTTAATCTGTTTAGCGAACCTTTGTTAAATTTTCAAATTGAAATTGAAATTTGTTAATTTACTTTTAAAGAAAGGTCGGAATTACGCCTATCCACAATCGAGGTTTTACATACAGGAAGTATATTTTATGCCCGCATTTTTACGTTTTTCCAGCTGCTATAATTAGGTAACCGTTGCAGAAGGGTACCCTTATATGGATGTGAAGTTGGGGTTATTAGTGTGAATACATCCAGTATATAAATATAGAATTCATGATTATACCATACTTGATACTTCTCTTCGCGTTCGAAGAGATATTTCTGTGCTAAAATAAAGTAAAAGTTTAGGTATTAGAGCCCATGTATTACATCAACCTAGGAAGGCGCGGGAGATGACGTCTCATGCTTGAATATTACTTTTTCTGTGTCTGTCTTAACAAAGTAACAATTTAATTTGTGATAGAAATATACTTGCTGGCCGATTATGAGGACAGCGCTGCCTGAAAATGGCAATTATCAAAATCTTTATCTGGAGAGGCCTCTACCGTGTGAGTCCAAAAAAAAAGTTTACACCTAGAAAATTGTTAATTATTTTTAAAATCATCTATGAACAGTAAGTTATTATACATCTTATGAAAGAGAGCTTTATCCCAAATCATTTGGTACCATTTTTGTGTGGTATGTGTTCACGCTTGGATGAACAGGAGACATTGTTTGCGAGAGTGCCAAAATCGACTTGCGCCAAAGTGATGCCTACAGTATGTGTTATGTTGGGATTAGCGGAGTGAGAGAATGAAATTAATGTATCAAATGAAATGCATTGCATATGCAAAGAGCAAAGTCACACACACTCACACACACGCGCACAAATGTTCATTGATATTAGATATTCGATATTTGATATGTGTGGCATGATCAATTTTGTTAGGGATGTTATTTTGATCCGCAAAGATCGAATTAATACCCTAATCCAAATTGTTTTATTCAAACATCACATAAGCAACTTTGGCGCAAGTCGATTTTGGCACTCTCGCAAACAATGCCTCCTGTTCATCCATGTGTGAACACATACCACACAAAAATGGTACATAATGATTTGGGATAAAACACTCTTTCATGAGATATATAATAATTTACTGTTCATAGGTGATTTTTTTAAATAATTAGCAATTTTCTAGGAGTAAACTTTTTTTGATTCACACTGTAGACCACCTCCGCCTCAATGCACACGTGGCCAACATAATTGAGATAATACACTCTCAAACAATGTGTTGTTTTAATAAATTGGAATATTTCGTTCGAGGTTTGTATTTGATAAAAAGAATTGGTCACCCTTTCTCTGCTTTATATATTTGATACCACACAATATGAAAAATGAGTGTTATGATTATAATTAATGTATCCACGTTATTCATTATCGTCTCAGACTATAAACTTTGCATTTTCTGTTATCTTTACGTTCTTTTTATTTTCTCATTTTACTTTCTATTCATAATCATAATTATCCGCTTACGTGATGAGTTGTCCCGCTACCCTGTTGCCATAGAGATTACAATCTTGAATTGGTCCGGTGTGTCCCGCTGCTTCACAAAGAGACTTTAGGAATTGAAACTTCATGATCTGTCCAAGGAAATGTCTGGAAAAGGAGAAACATACATTATGTTAGAGGTGCAGAGTCAGTCGGGCTAATCAAGGATGAAAATGTTCTTGTACTGAACCTCTGCAGTGGCATTGTATATTGGAAACACATGAATTACTTTTGCCACTCCACACCCGGGAGATAAATGGAGACTTTGAAGAATGTTGATAATAGTTAAAACAACTGCTTCTCATTTATTAATTTACTGAATGTCCAGCGGGAAACATGGGATCGTTATTCATAGGGATCCTAGCTGCTAACTTCATTTTCATGTTATAACAATGATGATATCCCTGACCCTGAATACAGCCTTAAGTCAGTAAAAATGTTTAAAAGAATCATTATATTTATGTATTCTCTCGTGAAATATGAAGAGGAATAATAATATTTAAGTAAACTTGATTGATGAAGGATTATTTTCTTACTTTGCATATGAGCTGTCTGAGACAATGTTGAACTCCGCTCCTGGATCAAAGTCTGCGTCTGTTCTCTCCACCCCTGGCTCAATACCCTCATATTCGGATCTAAGAAATTGGAAAAAACAATCGTATGATTCATTGATGTTAACCCGTTGACTGCTGATTTACTTTAATTCCCATATGCTTTATACATGAAACACATGGTTCCAGTAGGCAATATATGATGTAGACTCATATGATGCTATATTTGGTCATTTGAAGGGTTGAAGCAGAAGTAACTAAAACTTTTGTACAAAATAGCAAACACATAAATCAACCATAACTAATTGTACATGACAAGAAGTTTTGAGAATTAAACAGTTGAAAATGTTGGAAGATGCGGGTTACATACACTTGAAATAACATTATTTTTTTTTTTTTAATAATCATTTATAAATATCCTACTACATGAAAAGGAAAACAAATTGACAGCTGCACTCCCCTTACCATAATTCGACAACAAAAATACAATTTTGTAGATAGCAAATAATGGATGAGAAAAAAATGAAAGAAATGGCAGATAGAACTGTTGTGAGGCACTTCGTGACATTACGCATATTAACACTTAATGCCATGTGGATATCATGAGCTCATACTTACCTGAGATCCCACCACTCGGAGTTATATCGATCAGGTTGAATAGAACTATTGAACACACCCCATCTACATTGATCCACTTACCTGAGATCCCACCACTCGGAGTTATATCGATCAGGTTAAATAGAACCATTGAACACACCCCACCTCTACTGATCTACTTACCTGAGATCCCACCACTCGGAGTTATATCGATCAGGTTAAAAATAACCATTGAACACACCCCATCTCTATTGATCCACTTACCTAAATTCCCACCACTCGGAGTTATATCGATCAGGTTGAATAGAACCATTGAACACACCCCACCTCTATTGATCCACTTACCTGAGATCCCACCACTCGGAGTTATATCGATCAGGTTGAATAGAACCATTGAACACACCCCATCTCCATTGATCCACTGCGTTTGCATAGGGCAGAAGAGCTAGGGAATCTAACGCAGTCCTCATCAAGCCATTCAGTTGTATCTCTGTACATTAAGATAACATATCATTGATTTTAATGTGCATCACCATTTATGTGTATGACCATGAATTGTATAACCACTTATTCATATATGTGTATTACCATTTCTTCATTTTATGTGTCTTGCCGTTTTTTCATATACAAGTATGTGTATTTCCATTTATCCATATAATATGTGTATAACCATTCATATTTTGAAAAGATTGTATAAAGGAATGTACAATAAAATCTCAAATGATAAGTGAGGGCTTGAGGAGGGAAGAAGCACTGACTGAAAGAGACAGAGAAAGGCTGATAGGAGAAGAGGGGGAAGAAGAAGAAGAAATATGAGATAGGGAGAATGGGTAGTGGAAGAGTAGAGTAGAGAAAGAGAGATAGCGAGAGAGAGAGGGAGAGAGAGTGAGAATGAGAGTGAGAGTGAGAGAGAGAGAGAGAGAGAGAGAGAGAAAGGGACAGAGGGAGGAGAGAGAGAGAGAGAGAGAGAGAGGAGAGAGAGAAAGAGAGAGAGGGAGGAGAGAGAGAGAGAAAGAGAAAGAGGCAGACACAGCTGCTCATACTGCTCCGCAGCATCCACAGCTAGCCAATAAGAAAAGTTTATTTGTTAAATTCGCTTACTATCATCATTCCTCTCGTCCAATGAAAGCCCAAGTTGCCTCAAGTAGGAGGGGCTAAAGACCTCTGATGACGTCAGATCCGCGATGGCTTCATAGAGAGCTGGACTCGCTGGTTCACGGAAGGCGGTTGGTTGATGGCTATACGAGTTCTGGTATTGGGTGTGTCCTAGGATGTTATGTGCCTTCGAGAGTTCATCTATGGTTACTTCAGATGAGCATGTAGTTATCCTGCAATATATTATGATGCAAAAAAAAAAGGAAATATGACTTGATTCGATTATATTATCATCACTATCTGTAGGTGGTGCCACCATGGTCATGTTGTAACCTGTGATAAGAAATTAGCTTGAAATAACAGTTATAGAATTGTAATTTGGAATTATCATTGTTCAGAGCCCCTCTAAAGTTTGGGAGCCCAAAATTCGCCAAAAATATGATGGAAAAATTGTATAATAATGTGAGAGAGGATGCCATTTACGACACACTTCTGCAATGATTCCCCCCCCCCCCAAAAAAAAAAAAAAAAAAAAAAAAATGTGTTTGAAGACAAATATTGATAAAATGATACATTCATTCTGTTGTACGTAGAATCCTAAATCTTGTATTCTTTCATCCATATTTGACTTCAAACACGTTTGTTTTGACAATCCTTGTAGAAATATGTCTCAAATGGCATCCTCTTTCACATTAATATGATACAGTTTAAGTGAAACTTCCCCATCGAACTTGTGGGGCTCCCAACACTTTAGAGGGGCTTTGAGCACCTATTTTTCTCGTAATTTTACATTGGTATGTTTTTTTTTCTTTCTTGTTAAATCTAAAATATATTACGCAGGTCAAGTCCTCTTAATGATATATGTTTATTTTGCAAATGAGTATTTAAAAAAAAAACTGTTCTGTATAAACGTTATAAACGATGTAAATATGTTCATGTTTATTCAGGGCCCCATGGAAGACCACTACTGTTGGTGAATGGGTTACCCTGTCAAAAGATTAGAAGAAAAAAAATAAAAAAATAAAAAAACTACCTGAAGTCTGTTTGGTTATGGAAATCCCATGATGTTGGTTCACACGAGACGTTGCGACCATCTTGAGGTTGACCAAAGACAGAGTTCTCCCAGAAAGATTCCGGAAGCTCCTCATAACCCATTGATGTATAAAACTCTTCAGCAGTCTCGTATAGTCTTCGTATGTCATAATTCTGATGGAAAATAAAAGGTATCAAGCATTTTATTAGAATAGAAAAACTCAGGGTCAGCGTTCTTTTGTAAGAGACTTTTTAAATATAACGCTTTCAAAAATATCAAAACCTCTTTCGTATTTTACTTGTTTGTCATAGAACTGTGTCATGAAAATAAGATGTAAACAAGAAACTAGCCCTGATTATTTTATTTGTATACATTTACGAACGTATACATATTCATGGCTGTTTATAATACATTTTGTGCCCAGAAATCTAGCCTCTAAATAATATTATCGAAATGAAACTACCAACGCGGATTATCAAGTGAGTTATTAAATTTACTGAAAATTCAATCAGTCAATAAATCAAATAAAAGTAGTGGTAATAACATTTAAATCATTTATTGCAAATTTCTGTGATAGAAGGGCAGTTGCCCTATAAAACGAGTTGACACCGTTTGTCTAAACTTCATATCATTGCGTTGTTTCAACTTATGCAAAGTACAAAGGTGTACAAACTATTAATTTACCTGTTCTTGGAGGAACTCAGTCGGGTCATCATCGTCGGTCTCGTAGGGTTTAGCGACATCGAAGAGATTTGACCAGGAGTGTGACCACATACCACCTGAAAGTCAATAAATACCACTTAGAGTAAAGCAGAATAGGCCTAGATTTTGTTGTGTTGAAGTTAGATAATCATGACTAATGATTATTTGCAATTTATAATTTCAGAAAGGGCCATTCCTTTCTTTACGATTAGAGGGATTTTATTTCCGGGATTGTTATCATGGTGATGCGATTTCAAGTATACTATCGATTCCATATTAAGACTCGCTTAGTAGGGGAGGGAGGGGGAGGGGGGGGGGGTACGTCTTAAAAGAAATCCTGACATGATTATTTTCCCTTTTTCTTTTCTAATAAAACTTCTCTCTCTTTTTACTTGTTATTCTTCTTCTTAATCTTCTTTTATTTCGTTTTATCTTTCTGTTTCTTCTTCTCGTTGTTCTTCTTGTTCTTGTTCTTCTTTTCTATTTCTTCTTTTCCTCCTCCTCCTCTTCTTTCTCCTTCTCCCTCTTTTCTTCTTCTTCTCCTTATTTTCTTCTTTTGCTACCCTTTCCCCCTATATTATCCCAATATACCCCTGGATCCGACTATGACCTTTGAACTTTACCAAACTCACCTAGTAGATGAGAAGGGATGGGTCCATTGAGGTCAATGACCTCTGGTCCATGTATGTCATACAGTCTCCTCCTGATGAAAGCATGGAGGTTGTCATAGAGAGGTTGGAGATTGGTTAATAGATCCGACATGGTTTGTTCCAGATGAGGTGTGTCGTACTGCCGCCGCTGGTAGTCACCATGATCGTCAAAACCTAAGTATCAAGGGTTAATGAAATGGATAGATTTTACCAAATCTCTTTGTAAATATATATCACCATCTACCACCGTTCCATGTCACTCTAAAACCATATTTTACTTCTGTAATGTATGGGTGAGTTTTCTTTAGTTCCATGTATATTGTGATGGTGGTGGTTATTTTACCTGGCTGCTTTCGTTCGTAATGAGGATTAATGCCTTACCAAAGGGCACTAGCGCATCGACTTGGTTTCGAACCCGGGTCACCGGATTATGAGACCACTGCTCTACCAATTGAGTTGTCGCATAAACGTAGTCATTTCAATTTTTACGAATTAAGGATGGACCTATTTGGAGTTAATCTAATCACGCCAACATAGGACTAATGTCTTTTCATTACTATTTATCTTTCTCAGTGGCTACATTAATTAAATTTAATCAAGGATCAGATATGATAACATTTCATAGGATATGTAATAATATTCTCTCCTGAATGTTAACCAGCTTTGACCATCTCTTCATTGTATTAATATTGGGTATATTCAAATCCAATACGTTTTACTTTTAATGTGCAGTAAAATAAAAGAATAAACAAAGAAAAAGAAAAAGAAATACAGACAAAAATATGTGATTATATATCTGGGAGGCACTTTGTAAATAGGCTTATTAGGAATTGCGGATCTTACCACTCTGTTGTGCTACAGTGTTACTGAGTTCCACGAATCTCTGGAAGTCATCACGATTAGGAGCTCCTGTCTCGTTCCTCCAACCCTGCCACGCCCATAGAAGCTCATCATCATCTCGACTCTCTCCCATTACACGTTTCAGATCTGAAAGGAGAGTTACAGGGTTGATAATCATAGGGGTTTGTTTTATCTTCTAAGGGGTACAAAGGGCATTCCGAATCGTTACAGATGTATGTTCGCGTTTAAAGCCCCTCTCAAGTGTTGGGAGCCCAATTTTAGTGGGCTCCCAACAATTGAGAGGGGGCTTTAGATATATATCATTATAGTTCTAACTTTAAAGTATTAGGATAATTTTAATGAAATTGGTAAAGATGCTGATTAAGATGATAAAAAGTAATCACCATTACTACTACTTCCGTGGCTGTTATTAATAATGATTTATGCGTATTGTATTTGCGGTTCTTTCATTTCACTACAAACACCGGTAAAGATTATTGCCACTCAATCAACAAACTTTCGCAGAGGATTCTACTAAAACCACATGGATTTCACCTGCGCCGAACCTATCAGACTACATTCCCTCCAGTCATGATTCATGAGATGTGGTGTAGCTCGAGCCCAGCTATTGAGGGGGTCCCGTGTCATGGGGGAAGGGGGGGGGGTAACTGGCGTTGCAAGAGTCCCTCGGGTAGGTGCGCATCATCTTTTTTGTATGGCCTTCTCCTTAATTTCTCTCTCTTCATCTCGCTTTCGTCATTTCATAGGGAGCATGTGCCCCATTCTCTTTGGAGCTACGCCTCGTGTTATGAGAATAAACCGTGTATGAATCGACAACAATCAGTGGTGAAGCATAGACCCAGCTATGCAGGGGGCACTAGCTTCTCGTTAGTGGGGGTGGGGGGGGGGGGGGGGCTGCGGTCATACCAGGTGGGAAAAAGCGAATTACCAAGGCAACTGATTAGGGGGGAGTGTGAAAGGTGTTCTATTATCTTCTTTCGCTTTCTCTTTCTCTCACTTTCACCCCCCCCCCCCTTCGATGGATTGGGAGTTAAGAACTTGCCCTTGTGTTCTCCTGTAAACTTCGCCATTGTTCATGAGAATAAAACTAATATAATCCGATGTGACAATAATGTTTTATATCATATCTGACAATAAGATCCTGCTCGGGATGATGTGAATCCTATCCAAGCAAAGACAGGGTATTCTACATGTACAAAGGTCACAGGCAATCTCGAGATGGGGAGGGTGAGAAAACTCTTGAACATGACATAATCCATTGAATTTACGACATTTCTTGGTATATCATTGGCTGATGTGTGTGATAGCAGACATAAACAGTAGACTGTAAAGCACAACATAAAACTCATGATGGATGTCGAACATTTCCAGATTTTCTCAGAAATTAGCTTGCTCTGTCTTTTCAATAAATCATGCCGTGAAAGAGTTCATCTTTCCCTTCATATATTATCACAGGCGGTTTTCAGTGACTGATAAACCAAAGGCTCCCGGCAGGATTCTTTTTATATTGAATGTTGAAAACTGATATCCATAAAAATGAAACGACACTTTACTTCTGAAAACCTTACGATAAATGTTTAAAAGTTAATATATGAGCTTACAGCAGTCTGTCCATGGCTCGATTAAAATACCAATATCAAACAAAAATTACCATTATCACTTATGTCAAGACTGTCGCCAACCCTTTACTCATTACTAACAATAACAATATCATAACCATCACAAGCATCGTCAACACCATCACAACCAACAAAAACACCACCTCCACGTCGAGCATCATTATTCTGATCATCATCATCATCATCATCATCATCATCATCATCACCATCACTCCAATATGTATAAACAGCTACTATGAAGACGTCATCACCATCGTAAGCATCATCATCATCATCAACCACCACCACCCACCGCCAACCTACTACCATTTTCGGCCCCCTTATGGCCCCCTGCTTGATCCCTAAACCCCGTCATCTCACTAACCCTCGTAAGTACATCCTCCCTCATCGTTTCGCTTCATTGCTACTTTCCATTTCGTGAGATTAACCATGGTCCTTGACCATGATGTCCGGTCAAAGTCCATGGCATTATGATCATCACCAATCTTGTCATCACTACCTTCCTTCAAATAATTGATCATAACATACAAATAAAGGGACCCTTGATCCACTTTCCTAGCTTTCATCACAGCCTGATGTAAACATATAATCTCTCATCTCGTAGCATTGTCATGGTTACGCATCTTCGTTTCTTGAATACCAATGCACAGTCTTCTTCTTCTTCCTGAAAAGTGAAGGCTTCATGAAATAAATTCATATACCTCATGATATTGATACTGTAGCTGAAATATAATACATTGGACCTCTTACATAGTGACCTAGCTGTCTTTTGATCTTAAAGTTGATTTGTTTTCGGTATTCTTAATGACCCGTTTGAAACTTCTATTTTTTCTCGTCGGAAATGTTTCGCCTTCTTGCTCCTGTTCGTGTAATCGGTATACTGCAAATGGGATGCGGGCCACGTGTCTTTAATCAACAAGGTGTGCTACCCATATTGAACCAATTTTCACAACACACATCACGCCAGGCCAGGTGACGTGTCGGAATTGACGGGTGTACGAATATTGGTGGGAGGGGACTGTGGGGCGTCCAGGGGCGTCAAACGGCGACATTATAACAGACCGCAAATAATAGAAGTGCTACTGGCACTGGGTTGAAAATGTTGAACCAATTTTCACAAAATACTGAGCACGCCAGGTGACGTGACGGAGTTGGTGAGTGCTTGAATATAGGGGTGGGGATGGGGGGCGGGAGGGACATGAAGGAGCGACACAGAGACCACTATAAATGAAATGGCTACTGGTGGCGACGTGTTCCAATGCACGACTCAAAACCACAAAGATGATCTAACACCATCCATCTTGAAACCCTCAGTAAATGAATCATGTCTAGATAGTACCAGGGACCGGAGTGGTCTACTCACATCCCACAAAACTATCATGAAACGAAAGTAAAAACAACATTGATCGTGAAAAACTTTGTGATGACGTTTCCAATCAGAATTGCTGCCTGTTCAGCAGTCCTCTAATTGATCTCTTTAACATTATAAATGGTAATGTCACCTACATTTAACCTTTGACCTCTTAAGGTCAATGTCATTAAGGAATCACGCTGAATTCATTACTGACACCTATTATACCTCCACCATCCCCTACAGTGAGTATTTCACTAGTAGTTATAATCCACATGGTTTGTTTAACAGAATACGGGACCAAGACAGGGTCAAGTTTAGGTTCGAATTAACAGCGAAATGCATTCCTAAGGAAATGACCTCGATATGACGTCTTTATAGCTCTCAAGAACAGTTTATTCAGAAATTTCACCCTTGCAAGCGTGAGATTATTAACATATTGAATTTAAATGTAATTAAGAGTAGTGGTTAGTTGTAGTGAATAGAAAATATATAGTCAGAGAATGAAACAAGATTCGCAATGAATGACTACAAATCATTGCTAAATGCCAAATTATTTCGGTTGTAAGCTGTAAATAGCAGAGTGACGAATAAAGAAAGATAGAGAAATCGAGCGAATAGTCAAGACTTGCGTGTATATAAATGTACAAGTACCATACACCATGGTATTACATGTTAGTTGAGCCTTCCATATGGTTTCTATGAACATTTTCGCTAACACATCGAAATTTACAAATCCAAACACATCGTCTATTGCAAAATAAACAATGTTCATTTACTTTTTGGAAAAAACTGTTTTCCTCGATATGAAATTATATTTACAGAATTCAGGATAAGTTGTATACTTAATTGACTCTATACACTGTGAGAAATTATTCAATCTTTAAAGCTTCAACTTTAAGAGGATTTATTGGCATTGGGAAGTTCTAAAATCACCTCTCCTCCAAATTTCGAGACATTTATAATCACTGAAGGCGTACTGTTTACTTTACCAATGCCGTGTTTATATTATGTCGACGATCTTTTGACCTCTTAATGTGAATAGGAAAACTTATTGAGAAAGTGAGCATGAAAGATTGTGTCTCATGATCTTCTCTCTTTCCTTTTCTCCTCGCCTTCCCCTTATCTGTTTTATATATACTTTAATCTTCTGTCTTTTACCCTGTCAAGCCGATATGGCAATATCTCCTCCCGAAAGTCTTGTGAAACTAAACAATTTCATTTTTACTATTAATTTGACCAACAAATATCAATCACGAACAGTTTACAGAGGTTTAAGGCTGCGTTCATGCTTAACTTTTGAAGGCAGAATGAGCGATCTGAAACGCTCATCGTAAACGCTCATCGTGATCGCAGTTCCACGATGTAGTGTTCATGCTTACTTCTCTGGCTCCCCCAGGCAATTCTCAGTGTGTGGCCTTAATTGGTCTTCCAGCTGGATTCGCAAACCTTCACTGTGCATGCTACGTAGACCCACTAGAGGTCAGTGCGTTGACCCCATTTAAACGCGTTTACAAATTGTAAACGCATCTTTTTGTGAGTTTACGATCGGCGATCGTGATCGCCGTTTTTCGGTGATTCTACAAAAGTGAGCTAAGACGCAACCGTGTTTTAAACTAAACGCGTAACAGATGCCTGATTCTGGCCGTCAAAATCAAGCATGAACGCAGCCTAAGACACGCGGTGGTCTTGTGCATACGTTATTGGGCTGTCACTAGCTTTGTGGGTCGCGGTACTAATGTCCTATATCGAGACATTAATAATAGTAATACGTACCACTATTATAGCGCAATTCCTGTCCTAAGAAATATCAGTGCACTTTACATAAATTACATAATACAACATGACATAAAAAAGATACTGCCTAAATTAGTAATATAGAGGTACTGTAACATTTATATCCCATATACAGTTTTAACTACATATTCTAAATAACAATTACAATAAGCTACAATTATTACAAAGCAACATCATTTCTGAATAAGAATGCATGCTATAGTATGCACTTGAAAGAGGTGGGATTTCAATTGTTTCTTAAACAGGTCAATATTGTGCTGGGAGCTAAGAGTACATGGGAGAGAGTTCCATAATGCGGGTGATTGAAATGAAAAGGCTCTATTTCCAAATGATTTAGTCCTACATCTTGGGGCGGTTAAGAGATTTTGTGAGGATGATCTAACATTCCTCGAGGAGGGGGTAACATAACATCAGGTGGGATAAATAGTCAGGGCAAACACCATGAATTATCTTGACGATCTACATTTGCCGTTCCTCACCCAGGTGTAGTAAATGCTTTCAGGGCAGTAGGGGTCACGCCAAGGTACCTTGCAGGCGCATTGAGCAACACCCTGGGATTAATAAGTAACACGATCACAACGACTTTCAAGAAATCAACTTTAGGGCAATTTCTATGCCGTATTTATATTGCCAACAGAATTCATGTTCGCATTACGTCATGACTGTCATTGTCATGATCGCATGTGTCATAAGGTGATGCATTGGGCTATTGTTTTTTCTTCTTAGCGATCATGTTGCGCACTCTAAATATAGTTATTATCTAATCATTATAACATGTAACCACGATACTACAATATCTTTTACATTGTAATCGGATCACAGTTGGATGGGGCTTAATAAAGACGATCAAAATAATTTAGTTTATTTACCTGGATCTAGACGCAGACATTCTTTCCGTGCTCGTCTACCTTTCTTCCTGCATACCTTAGCCGTGTGATATCTCTGCTCCATTCGAGACTTCACATCCTCTAGCTATCATTGAAAACAATTAAATAAAAATGATAATTCTATTTTTGTCGGTAAATGTCTTTATAATGAAATTAGAATGAATTATCTATAAGACGAAAGAATTTGTGATATATCATTTTCTCTCGTTTGTTTCGCATTGTAAACTGGACCCCTCGGTAGAACAGCTGTGATGCACTGGCACAGCTGAGCAGGGTGATCCATCCAATGTTATTTTCTCATGTTATCATGTATGTTGTTATTTATATGTTTTTATACTTGGTAAATAAAATAAAATCGAATCATATCAAACACATCATCGTCAACAATGAAAGAAATAATTCAAACAAATGTGCAAAAGAGCCTTCTGCCATTAACCATACAGAGCTACAGTCTAAAGTCTCCGTTTAAGTCCGCTCTAACATCAATTTGATTTTAGAAAATGTGGAAACCAGAGAAACGGGTCGAAAAAAAAAAATCAAAATTTAATTAAATTTTATAAAAACTATATGAGAAGAATATACAACATCGAGAGTGTTAATGAAATTGACAGTTGAATTGTAGTTTCCATCACAAGCGAACTGTACTTAGAGCATCTCAAGACTGATAATGATCTCACGCCATTCTCACACGGTTTATTATTCAAGCTGTCAAATGGTCCACTGATCTAGATCAAGTTCAAGTTTGGTTTATTTGGGTTTCCTCCCTTTTGAGCTCTACAATAAACCTTGTACAGACGCAATGTAAATAATGATCAGGTCGGATTGTATTTTTGAAATTGCATTTCAATAGTTCTGTAGCCTATTTAGTTAAAACATTGTAAATCTTTATTACTAGATTACTCTGTGAGTACGAGATTAAAATCAACAACTTTGTCATACTTTCTTCTTCTTAAAGAAGATTTAAAACTCGTATCAGACTGAAGTTTGAATATTGTAAAGTTAACGAATCTTCAATTTCTATTTTCATTCGAGTATTTGATAAATCAAGGACTTGAATATCTGTGAATAAGTTATCCATTAAAAACACAGCACTAGTATTGTAACGCATCATGTAATAATTATACTTTCCTACCAAGAGTCATTTATAATTGCTTACCCTGGATTAAAAACAGAGCTCCATAATGTTCTGGAATTTCAGCAGCAATGCACCAATAATGCCAACAGGATTGATTTATTCTGAATTAATCACTAAAATACAAACATTGGACGGTCTTGAGTCATGCAACAATAAGTTTCTTTTCTAGAATAATATTTGAATAAATATGCAGGGAAACTTATGACAAATAAAGAAAGGTCAAATATGTCTATTTTTAATAGATTTATCAAGTTTAATCTGAATGGAATCGTAGTCTACGTCGGAATAGTTTGAATATGATCGTTTGATTGAGATCGTGGTCTTAATAACGAGATGATAGATATACATCATGAGACACCTACCTCTTGAGTGACTTCGTCCACGTAGGTGGGCAAACCCGATGTCGAGGCTATAGCTTCGAGTTCACGTCTGACATCGTAGGAGATCTGATGAGAAGGATAGGTATGGTAGTAGGTCTGAGCAGTACGACGTGATTCAGAATCAAACTCGGTGATTCGAATCTTAGCTTCAACCTGTAAAAAATGGGGGAATTATAAGATATTAAGTCATAAAACTCTACAATATTGTCACTGATGGAATATAATTATTGTCATATTCTGAAAGAGGTTTCTAAAATTGTCAAAATCGTTTAAGATCTATCTGATGGTACAAACCAAGTTCAAAAGTCGATACAAAGGGGATCACCTTTGAACTTTGGTGTTGATCATGACAGGTTATATTCAAATATTAACATAGTATTTACATAGTATTTACATACTTTTAGCATATTATTTACATATTTACGTGTTACACAAAATCATCAAATTTAAAGTGGTATGTGTGTCGTTTTATGTGTGTGAAATGGGAAAAAATATATAAATGTAGGATAAAGACGCAATTTGATTTAAAGCTAAATTCATGGATTTTTTTCCAAGACATAATTATCAAACATGTAGAAACCGAAAGCCATTACTTATATTCACTAGGACAAAACTAGTGTATATTGTGTGGAATATAATATGTTTGGTAAAATATAAATATAAAGACAATTATAGTTACCTTTATTTGTCGATTTTCCTCTGTAAGGTTTGTGTAGTAGGTCCATTGTTTCTCCATTAAACCAGGGAATTCCTGATCAGCGCGACGATCAAAATCTGCCAAGAAGAGCTTTACAATCTCATCGGGTGAAGGGTTACCGTCCACCTCCCGTGATGTGCCGCCGCCGAGCACGAACGTTCCAGCTTGACCGCCATCCTCCCGAGACGTCTCACCTCCAAGCATGAAGGTTCCAGCTTGATCAGGGACGACATCCGAGCTGATGGAGCTGGATGATACTTCACTGGTATCAAATGTAAGTGAGACCGCCATCGAGCCATTATCACGGCTAAAAATGTTGATTAACGCGAAGTAAAATACAACGCGGTATATGGTCGGCTTGAAATACATTTCGGTGCTTGCTCCTCAAATCTAACAGATCATTGGAGAATATTTCGTAGCTTGATAGCACATGTGAGTTTCTTCACTATATTTCAAGGATTAGTATGCTCCTGTCCGACTTAGGATGGAATTATTTCCAACCCGACGAAAATCACCTTCAACCCAAAATCGTGCTATTTAAGAGACAACTCCGAGAAATCAGGAAATCGTTAAAACTATTCTTGACAATGAGGATGAAGGACTATGTCAAGTTTGTAAGATAGGATACCTCTTGAATTTGCGAGTATCGAGTTGACATTTTCCGCTGCATCAACTTGTTTCAGCAGATTCTCATCTCGGAGTGCAAAATGAACCCGAACGCTCTTTAGTTTTTGAACCATAAACCAGACGTCTGACCCACTTAATAATTATTCATTCGTATGTTCTCTCCCCCCCCCCCCCCCCCTCCCCTCGTAGGCCTAAACTAGCGCACCTCTCAGCACTCACCTTACCCCCCTTGTTAGAGCTTGTGAGAGATCCGTCCAATCAGCGCCCACTTTCTACCTCGCACCGGCTGACGAGAAATCCTTCCAATCAGCGCCCGCCTTACACCGCGTACTATCCCGAAAAAGATCCATCCAATCAGGGCTCACCTTACGTCGCGTACTGGTTTTCGTGAGGTCCCACCCGTCCAATCAGCGCTCACCCCACACAGTGCTCTGTTTTATAATCATAAGCATGAGCCTCACAAGCAAGGATGATTGATCGCAAACAAAGTATTTATTGCCATGGAAATTTGAAGCACTCTTCTGAAAGTACAGACAACCACACAAGTGTCATGTGACCTATATACACTGAGCTTATTTTCCTCACACAGTGTCCACATCAATTTGTCCATACCAAGTGATAATATAAGTAGGATAGAGAGCCTGGGTCGATCGGGTGAGGAATGTTTAGCCCATGTTTTCTCATCCAGAGGATACAGGTAGTGCTTGTCAGTTGGAGTTTATTTTCCCCGCCTTCCAAATAGAGCCGCATCATAAGAACGAGTAAAGCATTTAAGATTTTGAGGGCCTAAGTTCCTCCTACCCGATTAAGATGACCCTGTTCAACTAATGATGTAACTTGTGATGAAAGACAGGCACTGATTAAAAACCCTTTCTGAGAAAATTTATCGCGAACTTCTTGGAGAAAAAAAACATATTTGACTTACCACAGTAATCCATTTTCACTACGAACAAATTAAATATTCTGTATTTTTTTGTTTCCTAAATTTTCTTTATGAAATATATACGACCACCTCTATAAGGTCAACTGCAATCGACTAACAATCTATTGTATCTCTAATCTTACTGCAATTAATTCATCTTACCATGCATCGATCTATCTGTTACATGAAACTAAGTCTAACTTACCATTTATTGTAACATTACGATTGATTGAAGGAGATTCGAATACATTTGTAAAGATACCATCAATCATAACGTTATATCTAACAGTGCCTTGATGTTTGTTTCATTGGATATCTTGATATCCAGAATCAAAATCAAATACAAACTTTTGTTTTGTAAATGCGTTGATATACCATTCTATTATACGCGATCATTTACTAACCATACACTTCTGCCTCATAATATTCATTCATATATACTTTCATATTGCTTAACAAGGCCGTGTTAGACCTACCCTCATTATTTCTACTGTGACGTAATCATTTGAGCAAAGATGCTGGCATGATAATGTACTGTATGTGGATAAGAGGAAGGTCACGAGTTCAAAAAATATTCTCGATTGTTCCCTTAATATTTCATTCAAAGTTGTGGTTATAATTAGATACGTAACAATAGCAAAAGTTTATTGCACACAAAATAATGCAGGGGATGTTCAAACTACATGTATACCTATGTTAATGATTAGTGTGACCCTGGCTGAGATTAAAGTGACTCGGTAACATTGCCTCAGATTCTGAAACAAAATCCTGGATTTAGCTCATGCTGCAATCATAATTATAAACATTTAGGCCAGTCAGGAATCCCATGACTTTTACAAGCAGATCACTTGTCTGATTAACAAGATATTTATGATTGAAAATCGAAATTTTATTTTTCCTTTTCCTAACGGTTTTTATAAGACTACAGTCCATTGGGGAAAATGAATATGGTAAAACCGGTCACTCAAAGATTTTTACTTTTTGAGGCACTTCATGATCATTTTGAAGCGCAATTTGTTAAGGGCTTCAATATTACACCATATCACAGACACTGATAACACGTAGAGCTATGCATCTCAGATATAACATTGTTAAATGATGCCTTTAAGGTAAGCCGCCATAAAGCATTGAGTACATCCTGGGAATGAATATCAGGTGCCCACTATCTCATCCGAGTTGACAGTGGAAAATGTAGATTTCATCTTTCCAAAAAAATACTATATAGTGCTATGGCTGGATTCTAACCATATAGTTGATTGACAATTTGGCTACGTATAAACTAGACCAACATGCTCCTAACCATCATGCATACTATTTCTGCTGTGCAGAATAATGAGATGTTGATGGTTTTATAATGTGATTTAATCTTAAATTAAGTCAGGGCTACATATAGACAGAAATAACCGTCTGGTATGGGGGATTCTTCAATAAAACTGACGTTTGTCAACCTTCCCCACAATTATATAGAGGCGGTAAGTGGAGCCAGGTGTAATCTCACTTGGAACAAACGTCGATATCAGACATTGAAGATTTTGGTCTAGACTGTATAAATACATAATGTGCTACAATTATTGTAATTCGTTTGATTGAACTTCAACATTTACAATCATGATAGATACACTGTGAAAATTAAAATGTTAAACATTTAAAAGGGCTCGCCGAGGGGTGACCAATTTTCAAAATGGTACATTAACACTTTGAACACGCTGGATCCAATACTATAAAGGTTGAATGTAAGAAAAATTGATCTGACATTTTGAAACAGTGCTCACTCCTCCGCCCCTTTAAATTGTGATTTTAACATTTTAGCTTTTAGAGTGAACATATAAATTTGATACGGTAACATCGATGGAGAAGTTCATACACATGCATATCATCAGGGAATATAATATCGAAGAATAAACAGTTTCATTTTTATTTTTCAAATGTTTAGTGGAATTGAATGAAAAGTTTTTCATTAATTCAGCTTATGGAACAACAGTTGACAAGAAACCGCTGTCTCTGCCAACTAGTGTGATGAGTATTACCAATCATGGGGAATATTCTGATGAAGAACACCAGATGTTGTGGTAAATAGCGACTAATTTCTAACGCCATGGGGTGGAGACAGTGATAATGTCATACAGGAGGGGTTTATGGTGGTGGTGGTAGTATTTGTGGTGGTGGTGGGGGGGGGTGGTGGTGGTCTTGGTGTTGGTAGAATACACGTATGGGTGTTTATTATGTCAGTTAATGAACTATAATCCTTACCATCAACCATACACTGAAGTCTATTAATACCACCAATCTTCTTGATGACAATACAAAGATAATGACATTATCTCCCAAGGGATGTGATAAAGGTAAGAGGATATATGAGGGTATAAAGGAATAAAGTTATATCCAAAATCTTGCCAAATACCATTTACAAACTTTATAATTTGTTGTCGTCAAATACCTTTAAAAAAAAAGATTTTTCTGTCCAATTTCATACGACTTGTCAAAATTTTAAAATGTTGGATAATTTTGCTTTGAGATAGAGATTATTATAATAATGGGGTTTCATAATCTATGGGAACTGTTCAGCAGGAATTTTTTATTTTGTTGTTGTTGATAGAATGGAGTGACAGAATAGTTATAAGGGGATCTTGGTAAGCATTTGTCTTTCTTATTCTAGATGGGTCAACAGAGGTTGAATTACTAGTTCTTGAGGTGGATAATGAGAGTTCGTTTGGGCTCATATATAAAAGCCCTTTAAGCTTATTATATACATACATGTACGTCTAAACGTTTTTTTATTTATTTTTACTTTGCAAGTTTTTTAGTTTGTGTCAACCTTAAACTCAGACGATGACTTTATTATTCCTTACATTTATATTTAGAAAACGATATAAACGTGTAAAGCATTGCAGCTAGCGCCAGCTGACTGAAAGAAGTCATTTACTTTCACTCTGAAACATGGTCAGTAATTGCAGATGAGAATGTAATAGCCGGTATCCATCACAAAATCGACAGTTATTGTTTAAAAACAAAAACATATAACTTTAATTAAAATATGTAATCACAAGATCACCGTCACACGACAGGTTGCATATTGCATAGACACAGTAAAGCTATTCAGGCAAAGGTATATGGTCAATAACCCTCCAGGTATAGCTTGAGGATGAAAACTATTTCATAGCTAGAGTCACAGTTCTCACATTAAAACAATCGAAGTACATTCTGGAAATGTAAATGTTACATAATGTTTATTAATGATGTCAACTCTGATCGATATCACCCTCACATGTTTTAAAGTCGGATATGAAAGTTCCATGCATCTAGGCAGTATACACTACTGTCCAGGATCCAGTATAAATGTGTTATTTAAAGGAGGGGTTCATTAAGTGTATTAGAATGCGAGGGAATAAATCCGCGGGTCTTTGCCAGGAAATTTTATCACAAAATGGCGGGAAGGATGCTGGTACCCTTTCCTCTGAATTCTCTTATAAATTCAAGCTCTTACATACTTGAAGACCACATGTATCGTCTTCAAGTGTCTGAAGGACCTCCTCTATGGACTCGTTAGCTCTGGGCTTCCCTTTCTGCTAATTTGAAACTAGCCGTTTAAACCAAAACCGAACAAATTATATATTGCCATATATCTGTTGAAATCTATGCACTCAGGAGGGGGCAAGTTTGACATACATAATAGACTAAGGATATGCCAACTTGAAATGGAGGAAGAAAGAATACGTGAGAATATCGCAAGCTTCATTCATTGATTGGAACCAAGCCTCGTGGTGACTGACATTCACGGTAAGTAAGGATGGTCTTATTACTCTAAAGGGGATGGTTTAGACTGAGTTAAATAACGTTTAGTTCGAGTGAACATTTCTTGAAGTTCTGCATGATCCACATTTATTCATAGTAATGTGGCCATAAATGTGTAATTGATATTACCTAGTACATATGGGTATAGTAACGCTGTAGCATTAGAAGCATGGTAGGTGGATGTTTCGTGTAATAGTATATTTGTAAAGAGCTTAGAGACATTTGTATTAAGCGCTATATAAAAATTAAATATTATTATTATTATCATTATTCGTGACGAGCATTAGAAATCACCTTTCTTGTAATAATTGAGCGCAATTATATAGAATGTCATTCGTTTATATTGCGGAGATGAGGTGTTTATATTCCTGACCCACGTTGATGTTTATTGGCAGTGTATTCCATTGTGCAGCCAACATCAAATTCTGTAGAACTAAGTACTATTTTTTTTTTTTTGGGGGGGGGGGGGGGGGGCTCAACGGGGATGTGGAGTAAAAACTCATTTTGTTTTTTCTCAAAATCCTCCCCCATCCCTTGAGAAAAAAATAACAAATTAATTCATGTACTTAGTTCCCATTTCCATTTTTTTTAAAGGTAAAATTGACGCTACCCTCGTTTTAAAAACCTGTTTTCCCCCATTTGTTAACACCTGAAACACAGATAAAGGGTGTCTTTAAAATTATAAAACGCCCAAAACACCCCCCTCGATATGCCGACGCAAACATTACATACATGAATGGTTAAAATCCCGCCCCCCCCCCCCCCCACACACAGTGTTATTCAGGGTACGCATATGCATGTTCCCTCATTTTGAAAACACCCCCATAAGTCCGGTGTGTAAAGTCAATACGGGCCGGATTTTTGTGTACTACAAGCCGGACTTTGGTGCCTGAAAAGTACGCATGGTATCCCTCCGTTCACTGAGTAGGGGGGGGGGGGGGGGGCGGGGTTAAAATACATGTGTATAAACGTATCGATGCTCCATTAGTTTGTACCACTGATCTGAACCGGATCATGAACAGTGTCTGGAGGTGGCGCTATTTTAACGAGCTCCTATTGACGATCGTAAATACATTTAGCTAGTCATAAGGACCGCTAGTCATATTAAGGACCATCATTCATAACGTGTAACTTCACGTATGCCTATGTGAAAGACCGCTATTCATTACGTGAGGTGAGGTTCGCTATTCATAATTCACATTGGGGGGTCATTACTTATACAAGACCGCTATTCATAATACGAAATCGGAGTCGCTATTCATAAAGATAGGAAAGGGCACTACTACTCATAAGGACTGCTATTCATGATACGAAATGAGAGTCGCTTTTCAAGTTCTATTCGCTATTCATTCTTCTCCTAATATGAATAGCGACCCTCTTCTCGTATTATGAATAGGGACCCCTATGAATATAGACCCGATTTTATATTATGAATAGGGACCCTTTTATCATATTATGAATAGCGGTCCTTACGAATAGCGAGCGGACCCCGTAAATAGACAGTGTAGTAGTAACTTCACACAGGAAATAATCGCACGAATCTGTGAGTCCCATGGACTATATATTTAGTTCCAAATGATTTGTAATGGTTGGAGGAGAAGAAGAAGGCGGAGAAGAAAGTGAAGGAGTAGAAGAGGAGGAGGAGGAGGAAGATAGAACAAGAAGGAAAAAAAAGGCAAATATTCAACATACATCACGTGATCTTGTCAATGTGACCGATATAATGGGCATGAATAATCATGATCAATGTCCAGTATAGCGGTGACAATGAGATGGTCATGTGGTCATCAGACAAACAATGCTGACTACGTCACCATCACCATGGATACCAACATCATCATTTCCTATGCTCCTACCGAGACGGGATAGTGCCAACTTTGGACTTTAATTGGATGAAAAACTATTCAAAATCAGCAGCAGTGGCAGCAGCAGAATGAAAATAGTCGTGGTCGAAGTAGTACTAGTAAAGTAGTAGTAGAAGTAGTAGTAGTAGTAGTAGTAGTAGGAGTAGTAGTAGTAGTAGTATTAGTAGTAGTAGTAGTAGGAGTAGTAGTAGTAGGAGTAGTAGTAGTAGTAGTAGTAGTATTTCTAGTACATTTAGTAGCAGTACTCGTCGTCGTCGTAGTAGTAAAGTAGTAGTAGAAGAAGCAGTACTCGTACATATATTAGTAGTCAGTGGCGGATCCAGCCGGCGGGAAGAGGGGGGGGGGGGGGCCCAATCCGTGAGAAAATATAAGTTGCGACTCGGCCGTCGGTGAATAAGCGGGGGGAGGGGGGGGGGGGGGGTTAGGAGGCACTTTTTTTTGGTCCAATTTTTCAGGAAATATTTTGCGCCGGTGAATAAGTGGGGGGGGGGGGGTGGCGTGAGACCACTATTATTTTTTGGGGGACCTAATTCGTGAGATTTTTTTATTTTTATTATTATTTTGTTGTTGTTGACCCGTCAGCCCCCCCCCCCCCCGTGGATCCACGCCTGCAGAGGATCCAGTCGGCGTCAAGGGGGGGGGGGTAGCCAAAATCTTAATACAAAATTTAGTGCCGTCTCAGCCGGCCGGCGAATAAGCGGGGGGGGGGGGGAGGGCGCTTTTGTTTTTTGTTTTATAAAGGTTAACTTTACGTTATTATCCTATTTTTTTATCGTTTTGGGGGGCTGGGGGGGGGGGGGGGGGGGGGGGGGGGGGGGAGCCGGGCCGGTAAAATCGCTACGTGGATCCGCCCCTGGTAGTAGTAGTAGTAGTAGTAGTAGTAGTAGTAGTAGGTAGTAGTAGTAGTAGTAGTAGTGGTGGTGGTGATATTAGTAGAAGTTGTAGTAGTAGTAGTGGTACGCTAATTGTTGCCCATAAAGTTTTAGTAATTTTCTTCTCTTATCTCTTTTCATGAAACATTTGTGACAAAACTAGTTTATTCCTGAAAGACAAGGTTTATACCTATTCAAACCTTAATTTGTTACTCTCTATATGAATCTTTAAATTGATCAAAACAATTCCTGATAGATAAAGTTCATAATACAAGATTTATCTATCAAGAATATACCATACTTTCATTCCATGAAAAGAGATAACAGATAAAAAAAAATATTCCAGCTTCAAAGGGAACTTTGTAATAGTAAAGTGGTTGTAGTCTCTTCGCGTATACTGTAGATCAAGGTCAGGGGTCGTGGGAGGGTGGTTATATCAGCTTCTTCTTCACGTTGCTTTTTCCTCTTCCTTTCTTTTTTCTTTCATTCTTTCTTTGTTATTTGCTTACTTTCTTTCATCCTTTCCCTTTTCTCTATCAAGTTGATGTAGACGTTGTTTTAGTTTTAGCGGCGCGTATCATTAAGTTGATGTGTTTATATCTTATCTAGCATATTTTGAGGAAAAAGAATGTTTCAATATTATACAGGGTCAAACAACATCGCGAGCAAAATTTAGAAGAAAAAAAGGTGGAAAGGTAATATTTTTAAACTTTAATCCCCAATGGAATATTTTGCCCATAATTTATTTTGTTATGATTAGGGAAAAGGTGATGCCCTCATCTTCAAACAAAGGTTAGCCAAGCTGTGGTCAATGTTAGGTGTGGGATGGGTGGGGGGGGGGGGGGGGAGGGTGGAAGGCACAAAGAGAACTTTCTCGATTGAAAGGGTACCTGCAAGGAACAGCAGTATTTGAATTAATCTACAAAACTGCACTTTCTTTAGAAACAAAACACACAACGTGATGGTATTACAAAGAATTTAAAAACAAACAACTGAAACAAAGAAGGTACCCTCCATTATCATCAAGGGGGATGTTTATCGTGTTAAGAGGACTTGAGGCAGAGGAAAGTTAAGATAAGAAATTTTGCTGGGTACTTTCTCCATTAAAGTCTGTTTTATTGCTAGAGAGACATTTTATTGATTTTCAAAAATGTGACGACATGCCTCTGCCGCCCCCGTCAATGAGTAATGGTGCATTAAACAAAATAATCAGCTGATTGAAAAAAAATGTCGTCATAAACTAAAATCTATTGTTTCTAATTCAAGTTCAGATGTGATGCTATGATTTTTGTGTTTTAATATCTGTCAAATCGTGCACCAATGGATGTTTACAAGCTATTTTAAAACAATGGAACTCGATGGAGAGTGAGCTTTCGAGAGAATAGTAATTTATTCGCCACAGATGATGGAAGACAAGCAACATTATAGTCAACTGGTGAAATATTTATAGAAAAATAGATTAGTGATACATTAAATCTTTGCAGCAGCGAACCAATTTGATATGCCTATTTGGGATTCTCATTACAGGGACTGCGAATGTGAACAGATGTCTACAAGTATCTGTTGATACCTGAACTGACTATTGTTTGCAATTGCACAATAATATACAACAAATAATATGTAAGACAAATAGCTGTATCACAGGCACAACTAGCTATACTAAGCACCGACAGGGAGCCATAGCCCCTGTTTGGTCTGACGATAGAAAACACAAATATGAAGAAAAAAAGGAGTCAGTCGCCCCACTTGCTCCACTCGCTCTAAAATAAAATCAAGCAGTTTGCTGACCCCATCTGTACCATTTCTTCAAAATATTGGCTAAGCCATTGAGCGGCTCTTATATGAGCTTATTTGATCCTACTTCTTTTATTATATCGTACATGTGCCAATTATTCATATTTCAATCTTAAATTTGAAATAGTTCTTCCATGTCATTGGCATACTAAAAAAGGAATGACAAAAACATGACACAATGCCGGAAGGACAGGCTCTGGAACCATATACCATGCATCAGTCACGCGCGCGGAAGTAGAAATAATTTGATATCATTGAATATTGTATAATCCCCTTCACTTAGACAATTCCAATTGGAGATCAAAGTACAAATAAAATGGCTTAATTTACTTCACTATCTCTTTAGTCAATTTCAACTAAAGAATTAGATGACTTTCCATTTGATATTCCTTGTTTTTTCGACTGCGTATACCTCAAACTCTTCAGCTATGGGTTACAAATATTCTTCAGGAAGGCAGAAAGTAGCACTCGTCTTTAAAACACTTTAGTAGGCCCTGCATAATTATAGTGGTGAAAAGCTTGCCGAAACCGGTCTACATCCTGGATGAACATTGACAAACACACAGTCACATTCATGAATAACTTCATGTGATAATATGAAACAGATGTTGTTTTTCATAACGTGTGATGTAGAGATGAAAGTTTGTATGCAGTATAATACTAATAATCTTGGATACCATGTTTTGTATATTTTTGTATTTGGTTCCATAAAACGGTACATATATACCTCGCTATTGTCATAACTATATCTGTATTTTGCCCTCTATTCTACTCAGAAGTAAATGTTTGAACTCAGGATGAAATATTCAGATATCATCATAATCAAATCACCTCATGAATCTCTGTAAACAATAGCTATTGAATGCAAATAGTATATTTTCTTCGACATAATATAATTGTAATATTTTAGGCTGAAGATATGTAGCCTTTGTGCTCCATATTTTTTCAGTTCATAATGCTATAATTATATATACATATATACATGTATATATATATATATATTCATTGAATAAGCATAATGCCTGTAGAGCAGCTCTTTTTAAGCATAGATACGGTTGCTGTAAAAATCATACCCGCATAATTATGTCTACAAACAAGATTGGATTACGGTACCTACCATACGGCGTCTAAAATTACAAGGCTGTTAACAATTTGCATAAAATGATAGGGAGAAACAAGCGCCAAAGGATATCTGCATATATCGTCACATGTTCGTATGTTAAACTGTTCTTTGTTGGTCTGGTTTGGACTGCTATAGGAGGGACGTTATTTGATGTCGTGCCATTCTGCAATGGACATCATTCTAACGAGGATGGGTGGAGAGCAGGAAACGGACCTTTTGGAGTCTGGTCTTGGGGTCGATCTAATAGAATTCCTGGTCCTGATCCTGGTCCTGGTATACTGCATCATATTATGAGGCAAAAGCCATTCGGATTTCTGAAGCGAAGGTGTGACTGAACAGAAAAACCTTCTGAAGATTCGTATTGAAACTTTCCAGCAAAGAAAACAGGTACGAATTACAGGAAGCATTGTGGTGATTATTTTACAAGGACACTGTAAGTATACTTGCCCTGTCGATAATTATGTCTGTCTGTCCACCCGGCTGTCCGTCTGTCCGTCCCCTATTCCCTCTTATCAGGGGCGTCGACTCTGGAGTATAGATGATTAGTTATGTAGCACCCATTGACATAGAGATTTGATTTGAACCTATTGTGAGGGATTTGTCTGTCCTAAAGCCTCGACATGGCTTGGCTCTCATGTCTTTATACGATCTAAACCACCATTTATTACCAAAATTAATTTCACATACAACAACGAATATATGCAGATGTATTTTTTATAATACATATTTAGGTAAAAGGAACTAACAAAATAGCACAATGCCGGTTGTGGTTAGTTCCATTCAAAATAATTACTTCATTCTGAAACTTTTTTTAACTTAAAATTTATATCGCTATTCACAATTTACAAAGTTCTCATTATGAAGGAAAAAAAACACATAAGGTTTTGGCGGGAGAAAATGTATGTCTATAGGACAATTGAAACTGAGATGTGATAACGTAACGAATTAGGTAGAAACATTAGAAAAAGAAAGGAACCTCAGCTTTAGGAAGATATGAAGTAAAGTATATTGCCAAGGAACGGTTCACTTCACATTGTACAAAGATGATAGTCCTTTTGTTGAACTAAACTATGACTCAGAATCTATACGAAGAATGAGTCGTTGTAGGATGATACATGGTTAAAGCGCGAATGATTAACGGTGTGTGGATAATTATTTTGTACCAAATTCTATTCTTTCACATACTTCAAATACTTACTTATTGGATAAATAAAGTGCACGCAAATGCTTATCAATGTTAACATTGCATGTAAATTATGTGAAAGAACCGTAATTCGCGAAAAAAAAATCTATTCAAGTATTGGAGACGCAATAATAACAAGTCATGAACATTTTGATGCACAAGAACACAACTTTTACTACGTTTGCAAATAAAGACACATTTTTTAAAATTTCTAAATATATAATGGCAACCTCTCTAATACCTTATTCAATTGAATATTACATAAATTGTGACCCGATTTCGTTAACAGGCTATAACGACTTCCGCCCATTTCAATTGGCTTTACATCATAGGCTTGAACACACCTCCTGGTTCAGGGTGTTATATTGGCGGCCTAGATAAGTTTTCAAACTGTATACATTGAATTGATCAGAACGTGTTCGACTGTGTGTTTAGACTATTTCAAAATGCAGAATCTGAAATGTATTTTTTTTCATGAGCTTCTTAATATATCATGGGTAAAGATGTATCAAATTCGTTATATTTTTCTGACAGCACCCCATAGCAAATATTTCGGTGAATTGGAAAAGGTTGCTTATACTGTATCAACTTACAGTAGACAAAAGTACAAAGCTGCTACACCAAGTGCCTGTAAAATTAAAATTAAAATAATTTGTAAATGTCTCAGCTGAGAGAAAGCCACATTTGTTCATATGCTCTCTTTTGCCCTGACACAATAAGAATGTAATTATGGGAACAAATAGTTAAAATAAATCAGTGTACCCTAAAACATTAGACCCAGAAAAATAGCAAACATATTTTCACAAAAGCAGATACGACGCTGTACTGAAAAAAAATTGAGGAATAAAGAAAGAAACATACTCTCCCCTATAGAGTGATAAATCTTCCCGATACTGATATCAGAGAACAATAGTCGTCGTGGTAAAGTTGCTGGTAGCTGTACAAAATGGCGATTGGGGTCGAGTTATCTACTAAGATATTAAAGATGGTGTGTTTAACGTTCCCAATCTTTCTTTTTAATTAATCACTTCGCGTTTGGCTAAAAACAGTATATCTGGAAAGTAAATCGCTTTTTGCTATTATACCAGCAGAGGGTAAAAAAGCTAGATTTAAAGCATGAAGCTTCTCTTTTTCATCATTTTGGTTGCGTCATCTTATGCTGACACGTGGATTGAATAGTAGATTATAGCAGATGAGAAAGAAAAAACATTTATATAAAACATAAATGATGATTTACAAAAAAGAAGATTTAAACAATATTTTGTAAAGGAATATATATATATAGATGTATTCAACTCTTTGTGACGAACGATTATTGAAAAGACAGTATTGTTTTAATTCACATTGCCGAAAGTATCTATGAATGAGAGAAAAGGACACTCCAATTAACACGAATAGAAACTTTATTAAGGCTCATAATACAAGCTTGACGGTGAAAACTGATCATTGCCGCATAATAAAGGGAAAAAGAAAAAATAGACAGATAGATAAAGGCATATAGATGGACAGACCGAGAGACAAGGATTATATTCATAGATATATAGATAGATATGTAGATGGGAAAGAGGGGAGAGAGAGAGAGAGAGAGAGAGAGAGAGAGAGAGAGAAGGGGGGGGGGGAATAAATCGAGAGGTATATAGGATGATAAAAATAGATATTAAGACAGGGAAAATTGCAAATAGTAGAAAAATATATTTGTTATTGTTACGTCTTAGGTTATCTATAAATCCTTATAAAGTTTCCTAACAGTCAGAGTCATTTGTTACGCTTTATAATGTTTACCCCTTTTGTATTTTCTTGTCCATTTTTTTTCCAGATAATCATATAGGCCTACATCAATTGAAAATGTTGTTAACATTTCTTTTAAACATTAAATTTCTTAACATTTTAGATATTTGTTTATTGATGTGTTTGCTGGCTCATAGTTTATTCAACTCCAGATTGATTGCTCTGAATTGAAAATAACCTTGGAGATAACTTTATTCTGTATTGCTTTTTTGTCTCTTGAAATCGCATCATCTGAAACTGCCCCAGATATTCACACGTCTTCATCTTGAGTCCACGTTGCCGATCTAAGTAGTAGTGCCGCAGGTACTGATTTTTAAGTGATACCTGTACACGGCTACTTACATTGGCAACGAGCTGGAAAATCAACTCTTCGTCTCTCCACCAGAGTAACACTCATTCATTGTACAATTAATTTACCATTTCAGGTGTAAAAGTAATGCAAATAGATGATCAATATGGCTGTTGAACACAAAGTGATATGAATCAACGACAGCGGTCCATGTATACATGAAAGATATAATTATATGCCGAGTTAATTATTATTAATATACAAAGACCCGCCGCAATTCAAATTGAACTTTTGTAAATACTGCAATTTTCCGAAATTAATGAATGTCTGAATTTCGTTTTGTAACAATTCATTTTACAAGGGACATGTTTAACTTTGCATCTCGACTTAACCCGTGCTATGTTGCCATGGTTACAGTTATTAAAATCAACCAGCAAGAATCATAGTCATGCCATCAACTAGAAATTAAAATATTCACGTTATCAGTTTTACCGCATTTTTCTCGAGCTTATCATTGCGCTCGGATAATTCAATTTCCAATAGGGTGACAAAAGTAAAAAAGCATTTATCAGCAATGCAAATAAAACGTTGGTTGAAAAGGAATCATATATCCCTTAATGCCATTTAGCGCACAGCTGTGATTGGTCGCATAATAGATACCCTCTTATTTAAAACAAATAATATGATATGCGGTTGCGCATAATTGGTAACCGCGCATATTGGTAGGCCTATCGTACTCAAAGAAAGATAAGTGCATGGAAAGACGAGTTATATATTATACGGTATAGTCACTTAGCTAGGACACGCAACAAGACTACTGACTCGCTATCAATCCGGCTTTATCTAATTTGTATTAGTTTATCTTCATTTCAGTACATGTTGATAGAACATAAATTTATGATACTGATGAGTGCTAGAATATTCAAATTTCTAAATTATTGAATTCGAATTATGAAGGGGATGCATATATTGCCATGAATATTGGTTTGTCTAAACAGTGGAGACACGGTGATTTTTAAAAACAGTTATCAATAATTGTAGCTCGTTATTACAGCGAAACAAAGACTGCCCAAAGGAGACAAGAAAAGTGGTCTTCGTAGTCATAGTTCATTTCGTACATGATTCAATGAGAAACGATGTTCAAGAGAAACGAAAAGGACTACCATGGTGTTTATAGACAGGTGGTCACTAACTAGCAGGTATTACTGTATTGGGAAGTTTTGTGAAACATGACGCAGGTAGAATAAAAGATGCTGATGGACTCGACAGAAAAGGTAAAGGTCATGCCCTCGATGATCACGACGATGACCACGACGATGACCAGGATGCCGTTGAGGAAGATGACGTCGCTAAACACGTGACTATGTTCCGTCCTAAGTACTAGTGCCGTAGGTTAACTGAGAAGGAAAGTGAAGCTAGACTATAGCTTCTCAGACCTGTAGTACTAGTACTTAACATGGCACAAGTCGAATTCACCGTGGAAGCTTCGAGAGGTTCTACCATTCAAGTACTGGTTATCTTCAAACACCAACGAGATTTGATATGATCGTCAAAATCATAAAAGTCTATTACGCTTGTATTGATTCATACAGAAATGCTTGATAATATTGTACAATTTCATTTAAGGTTCTACGAATGATTTTACATATTTTTGCTAATATTCATGAGAATTTGGTAGAAATTTGTGTGTTGTATCCAGTGGCGTAGCGTGGGTGCAGGTTATGAAAGGGCACCAGCAATATAGGAACGGGGCATCAGTCTTATTCCACAGTGGATAAGATGCAAAATACACATTGTATTATTTTGATTACGAGATTGTGTAAGAGGGGTCATATCATTTTCTTTTCCCCGTTTCCTTTTTCACTTTTGCTTACAGTTCATTTTTTCCTTTTCTCTACTTGATTTGGCGTGGGGAGGGGGGGGGGGGGGTCAATGTGCCCATATAGTTACGCAACTGGTAGCTTCTTCATGGAATGCTAATCTTATCTGAATGAAGTGCTGATGTCTTCACAAAATAAAATGCTATAGGTTTTTTTTACCTTCAAAATAAACCGCTGTTTTTAACATTGTAATAAAATACACCTTATAGTCTCTAACAAGAATTGGTATTTCGAGAATCATATATGTTTTGAAAATGTTTATTATTTACAACAATTAAATCATATATCTTTTGGCAACAGATAAAGCGCATGTTGAATTCCCACAGCTTATAGTGAGTATTGCAACAATCTATCATAATAGTTTTAAATGCCTTCCTAGCATATCAAGTTATCAACATCTGGTGACGCAAACAATGGTTTACCTCAACCACGCCCCGGATATCAGTTATAACGCACATAAATTAGAACTAACAGAAGCTTTTTTTATTTATTTTTTTGTATGAAAATTTGTTTTGAGTTCGAATTCAATACAATATGTATATTAGTTACAATGATTTTATTTATGTGCCTCGTAGATATTGCCGATCGACATCATGTATTTTTTTTTTCTTCATAAATTTGTTTGTTTTATTTCATATTTACTAATGTTTTTATTCCTCCAAAAATTAAAACTTCTTTGAAGTCATTTTTATGTTGCTCTGTGCAATAGTTTTGTTACCTCACGTAATCAGCTATTTCATTTATTATCATTTTTTTTCACTGTTTTCCGGCAAAAACAGATTATGTTTTTTCCTATACTTGCTTCGATTGGGGAAAGCTATAATTCCATAAATTCATTTCAATGTACGCGAAAAGTTTTTCTCAGTATAATTTTGTAAATTTATTTTTCCTCGTCGAATTCTAACATACGTGGGATGATTATAAAACCAGGAAACCTCGAAATTGATGGATCTAACGCACGAGTATACTACCAGGCGATTTGTCGTACCCGGTGGTACAGTGAAACCCAATCCTGTATAGCTGGTATACAATGGGAGAATGGCGCTAGAAGTTTTCTTTGTTCAGATGGCGTATTGTAACCTTGTTGCATTATATTTTATTGATGATTGTTGAGCTATGATAAATTATAGGCGTTCTCATCATTTAAGAGATGTCACTTTTTCAATAAAAGTACCCTATGAAATAGACTATTGATTTAAGTAAGTTTTTCTTTATTTCCATATATGCATCCATATTTCTGCTTGAAAGAGGTTGCGTAATATGAAGGGTCCAGTTGTTGAGGGGGGGGGGGGGGGGTGATGGTGCAAAGGGGAGCGGGGGGGGGGGGGGGTCAGCCTTATTAGGTAAAAGAATGAAAGCTTCAGGTGATGGGATGGAGTGGGAGGGGGATGTATCTCTTTCTTGTCTCCAGCGTCTCTTCCTTCTTCTCTATTTGTCTCTCTCTGTTCACTTCACAATTTGATAATGGGAAGGGGGAGAGGAGATGCATTCCCCCTGCCGACCCCCGTAGCTACTCAACTGTAATCTAACCTATATGGAAAGTGCCTATTACTCTGAGCTAGAAAACATGGATACTTTACAATTACAACTCAGTGTTACATACATTTAAATTCTCCACAAAATAATTTGACATGCTTTCTCTAATCATCATTTTACGTCACATGCATTTGCCCTGAAACCATGAAATTTCTCCGTTAACTCATCTGTTTTATATACGTATTGTATTTATGCTGATTAATACAGGTTTTGAATGTCATGTAAAAGTTTTTTAATGTAATGCAGATCTACTGATGCAATAAAACTGAACGAGTCAACAATAACCACTGCAATAAAAGAGAATTCATAAAATAAATACATTAAATAGAGTTCGATACACCACTAAAAAACATCTGCATGTTGTATACGTACAAGGTGAAAACAGCAGCTGGGTAAATGAACTAATGAATATTCAAAGTTATAAATATCTTACTCCCCCTTATTTCCGTGATCTGAAAAGATACAGGTACTTTCAATAAACACATGTGATATATATCCTGGTCAAGGTTGTTTTAAAACATTCAAGCATTTTGCACTCTCTGCTCCATCAATGTGTGCTGTATATGCAAGCACCTAATGATTTTTTTTCTTCAAATATTTTCATTTGAATTTATAATTTCATACAGTACAAGACATCCGTATCGTATTCAAATCATCAATTGCAATTACATGGTATAACTATTTAATTTGTTATACATGAATAGTAAGCTTGATGAAAACAGAACAAAAGCATATTTTAAACTAAGATTACAAGACAATGAGGTAGAATTGAAAAGTGGATGTAGTGAACTTTGTTTGGTTTTTACTTTGTTGAACAACAATTTCAAGTGAAGAAGTTTTTGATTATTTTCATCTAAAAAGTACTGTCCTTATTCCTTACTCATTCTTAACTGAATCAATTATTCAATGAAAATGATTTTACAATCAGTGCCACCTATTATAATACAAATATCATGCATATTATACAAAGTCCTTTCTGAGAAAGAGATTTAATTGCATTGTTTCACAATTATTTCTTTATTTGTTTAATTTCTATATTGGCTGTGCAGATACTTTTTTTCTTCATAATTACATTACAAGATTACTTCCATTTTGCCGTCATATTTCATTCTTACGGCCTCAGTATTTAAGTCAAGGCAAGTAATTTAATTTGATGCGTTTCCTTTACAGTGTCTACACCAAATTACCTGTACCTAAATGAATCAATGAAGATTGTTACATGTGAAATATGAACAATAAAATGAAATTGAAAAGACATACTGTTGATGTGTTTGTATTTTTCGTGTGTATGTTTCTGAAGTATCACATTTCAAATGATTAGAGGGATGGCAAATTTGATTAAATATTGCAGTGAACGAGACACATGTCTACTAGTGTGCCTGGGTATGATGCTAATGGATAGCCTTTATACATTAGGGTTAATGACTGGCAGATGTCGATTCATATCTCGATTCACATATTAAAACACAATTTCATGGCAATTTCCGTAATTTGATATCCGAAGACATGACTAGTGCAATAACATGCGATGCTTTGGCAATATATACAAGAGTAACTTAAATAAGTACAATATGAAAGTTATAGAAAATGCTGCACCATTGTACATGATAGGAAAACAAGTCTACATTAGTAGATTTTTTTTCTCCCTCCCTTTCCTGCCCCCCCCCCCCCATTTATTTCCATCTTCTCCTTCTCTCTTCGTTATCCACTCCATTTTCACCCTCTCTCTTTTCCTCATTGCCTACTTTCTTCCCCATTTCTGTCATCACTTTTCATTCTTTTTCCCATTTTCACTCCCTTATTCACTTATAATCTCTGCTAAATACAAAACAAAACATCTTTATCACAAAGCTTTCAAGCAGGTAATTTTTCAATTACAAATATTGAGATGAGAAGAGACCCCCCCCCCCCCTCCCTTCTGTGAAACAGAGGTGGTTGGTGTAATGTAACCCTAACCCATAAATGTGCCATTCTCAGACATACATATTTTGAGATTGATCATCAGTTCAAACAAAACAAGACAAATTGCCAATGTACTTGAATACCAAATCTTGAATTGATTTATGCTCACCTTATTTGTAATCAGTAGTACCAACAATGACTATTGCAGATCATCAACTGTTGATGTCTCCATTTAGACCCAAACACATGCCCGAGGCTTAGGCACAATCAAATTGTGACTGAAATCTAGCAATGGATTAGGTGGTTGGGATGCTGCCCTCGAGTGTCACACTTTAGCAACAATCAAGAGCTCATTTACTCTAGAGTGCAGCATTACATGTAGCAAATGCCTTCATTTCATTCAAATCTACTGTCTACTTCCTGGTGTATGGCAAGAATAATCAATTGGTTCAAGACAACTGTCTACAATTCACAATTTACAGAAAACCCTGATCATATCCCCCTAAAATAAATGGGAAGGGGAGGGGGAGGGGGGGGGGGAGGAGGAAAAGGTCCACATCACTCATGTAACAAACTGAAGGCAAGCACATGAATATCATTACATTATAATAATTTACTTTATTTCAAGTACTATCTGTCTATACATGGTAAATTTCATTCAAATAGCGATACTTTCTTTTCAATTTCTTAAATGAAAAAAATAAAGTTCATCCATGGAGTTTGGGAGATGAGGATACTGCTACAATTGAGATGTGACTGACAGTGATGGGTATGATGTGGTATGTACTCATATCATATGATGAAAAGCAAGCACATCAATATCAATAGATTATAATAATATACTTTATGTCAAGAATAATGTACCAAGATATTGTAGTTTTCTTTTAAGTGAAGATAAGTCTGTTGACATAGCTATAAACACAAATATTTGACTCAACATTTTCTTTCATGTATGATAATTCGGATTATCCCTTGGTCCGGGAGATGGCAGTATTCTTTAAATCTCACAGAATGTCAGTATAATGGTAATTGTTTACTTTAACAGCACATATACAAAATATTCTATTATTACATCAGTTTCAGCTGAGCTTCAATGATTTAAAGAGCTCTATATTAACCTTCAAACTGTTTTATTCCTTTCTTCAAGTTGATGGGGGAGTAGATGAAAGTACATAAATATCTTGCAAGGGATGTTAGTGGTGTGGAAAGGATTCTGAACGTCATACACATTTATCCACCATTCTAGGGTACTGCACTAACCTTTTTCAGAGGGGATCTGTACTAAACTGGTTTGGATGTGTTTTGTATGGAGCTCATTACAATTTCAAAATTGTAGGGGTCCAGTTTGCACTGAACCCAAGTTAAATGATGAACCCTAATATAAGGTTTCACACATTTCTAAGCATATCTTAAAAACATTGGAACAAGTTCTACTTGTCACTGTGTATCACTCATAATGCTATCCTTCAATACTAAAACAGTGTGAATGGATGATTGTTTCCATATATTACCTATGGAGGTACACGTATCATATTCGTTTACATATCATAAACTACACAGGGGTTACCAAGATAAAGAAAATACATTCACTTGTGGCATTCATGTGACTCTAATTCTCTCAATTTTTTGCTGGCAAGTCAAGTCTACAAAAAAACATATTCTGAAAGAGTTAGAAGTCAAAACCCTGTGCCATTTTAAATGACTTAATAGGGGGGCTTATCAATTCCAAATGGGTTTTAAATAATAAGAAATCTGTAGCAAAAACGAATAGAATACATCACAGACTACATAAACACAATAAAAAGATACTGACTGTACCTTTTCCCCATAATAGTATCGTACTGTTGTCTATAGATAAACAAAATTGTCCAAGTTATCTTAATCAATGTTGTCGACCATACTCAATGTGACATAAAAATGATAAATATATCAAGTTTTATATTTCAATTTTCTACCACAATATACAATTGGCAAATACTTCTGAATATAAACATATCTGTCTGTGTCCACATGGTATCTTGATACACTGTGAAGTTGAAAAGTCATGATTGCAGCTATTCTTGATTTCATCCTCGCTCACAGATAACTTCTACAATCTGTTAGGAGAAAGAAGTACACAAGGAGAAATACAAATGACAGTTTAACTTTAGATATATTATTATTTAAAAAAAATGTGGCATCATCATTAAAAGGACAAAAACCCAATAATCTTGTAAAACAAATTGGAAAAGGAATTTAAGTTAGGTATTTTTTAACTGAATTGGAGTCTCTACCAAATTGCAATCCAAATCCCCTAATCTGTTTGAAAGAATACCAAGTATACACATTTTCAAAGTAACACTTTGACTTGTGTAGAGTTCTAATTCTTGACAATTTTCTAATCTTCAATTAATACAAGATAAGGCATGTGTTGTAAAAAGTAAAAGGATGCAGAAAACACAACTCTAATTGAAAGTCAAGTTAAAGTGAACCTTGGTCCTAGGGGAAAGGATAAAGGGCTGGTTCCATTTAAAGTCAATGACACTATAGCTGAAATTCATTCCCACATCGGTCTGTAATTTATGGGCAAAAAATATTGGATGTGTGAGATGCATGTCCTATCTCACCAATTTATGCTAAAGAGCCTTCTACGACCGTTTCCTTTGATCTGTGGGATCGCAATGATGGTAAATGACTTTAGTAAATACTTCCCAAAACCGGTTTGGGGATGATTTATAGTTATGGTTATCATAATTGGTCAAACAAAACAAGAACTTTAAGGTTGTAACTTACACTACTCTCCATAAGAGTTGCATCTAGACATCGATGAACAGCACTCCCAACGATCTCATCCAACAGAAAGTGTACCAATCTGAAATGTTAAAGATAATCTAATTACTGCACAATTCTAACAATCATATTCTCTATTCTTTATCATTGTTTAAATATTGCACACGAATAGATTAAAAGGGGTGCTCAAGGTACCTACATTAGCTCACTTCTAAATATGAAAACCTTCTAGACTGTGCATAAATTAAAGCCATCAGTCAAACAATGTTTGCATAATACCAAGAAGAAGTTCAAGGAAAAGGAAATTTCATATCATCAATTATATAATATCAATAACAAAAAACACAAAAGAGTAAACATATTGAGTTATCAATCTCCTCAGCAATCGCAGAACATGTCCTTACTATTGGCTGGGATGATGCCTGTATTATTGACTTAAAAACACACTTCTGCTTAAGAAACAAACATACCACTGCCCCCCCCCCCCTGACTACGCTCCTGGTTATGACTACCCCAACCCCTGAAAGCTTTCTGTATCAACTTACTTCTCATCTGATACAAATCTCCAAAGATAGAGGTTGAGATAGTGAGTATCCACCTGGATCTGCTGGAGTCCGTAACGTCCAAACGTCCTCAGTCTTACACACTCAAGGAATGTCTATAAAGAAAACAACAATACTGTAATCTGGATTGATACAGCAGCTTACATCAAATATTGTATCTAAGTACTCAACAGACTTTATAACTCTAGTCATCAGAATCATTCACATGCAGTGCATGCACCATCTACACTCTCTAGGGAGTATTCCCACCATATGGTCACTGTGAGTTCATACACATCAAAATGGCTTCTGTCATCCTATATGAACTAGGTTCTCCATTTCAATTTCTATTTATATGGAGTGTCAAATGGAATACTTTGCCAGAGAATATTAGTGCTGTGTTGAGGCCTGAACCCAGAATCTTCACATTTCCATTTGAGCATTCAAACATTTGGACGAGATATCACAACGAGATTCTAGATTGCAAGATCATTATAGTATAAAGTGAAGTTTCCATGTTTCAAACTTTCTATCATTATTATGAATTCATTAAATAATTTTTTTTTCCTTACAAGTTTTGATGATTCCAGAGACTATTACTTAGATGCAGGACATAGTAAATAAACCTTACTTTCAAGCTAATCTTGATGATGCCTGTGACTACGGAGACCTTTGAGAACTCCACACTGCTGAAGATTTCAATCCTCTCAGAGAAGAGCTTCTGGATGTTACTCATCAGACTCGTATCAAATGTAGTACTGTAATACAAAAACCCCCCCAAAAAAAAAATACACAATGATTAAAAAGTAGCACTTTTAAAGACAAGATGAGCAGCAAATTTCAAACATGACAAGTTGTGGCTTTGGCTTAAAGTATGTTATGTTTACCAAAGCAAGGAACCTCTAGACTAAGATCCTAACTGTAATTGATTGCACAGCAGTTGAGCACTTATAATGGAAGAAGAACAGGTGGAATAGAAAGCCTATACATTTTATTTCAATTCACATCTTCAATAAGGATAAAGTAAGGGCCTTAATATGCATGCTACTGACAGCTCTTCTTTGTCCAATTTTTGAGCTATTGCTTTTAAATGAAAGTGATGTCCACAAATATTTGCATGTTTACATTTTGTTTGTCTAAAATCAATAAACAATGTAGAATTACTTTGAGACTGTTTCTTCTAAAACAGAACTCCATTACTAACACTCAAAATTAGCTTTCAGAATATAACAGGTTAATCATAATGTAGGCATCTTCAAGTTATCTACAAACCAAAGATACAGTGCAGAATTGTTTACCTTGGTGTGTAGCTCCTCTGAGTACGTTGCTGCCTGGACACACTAAAGCTCTGGAATGTTTTCTTACTGGAATCACTACTGTGTGCTTTACGTGTCCCCTCCTCATACAGCGATCCTACGTTGCTATCAATGGCTGTGATGTCCTCTACCACACGCTTCATGACGGCTCTCACGTTGCGTGGCTCGATGGTGTTCAGCCAGTCCCTCGTGTCTACACTCTTCCTCAACATCTAAACAGAACAAAAAAGAATAAGAAAAAAAAAACACACACAAAAAACACAACAACCACATCTAAACAGAGCAAGCAAGAACATGTAAATAAAACACTGTCAAGTCTTGTTCATCGATGGTACAGTCAACTGTATTCTTCAAATTCACCATTGTAGGAAAAGTGAAACACAAGCATATCGCTCTTTAAAATTCTATATCTTATACTGCATAAATAGACAAGTACGCATAGGAGCCTTTCTTAAGTGCAGCAGCTCCTTTTTTCTCACCCCACTTGACAAATTCACTCTCGTGATTCCACTACTGAATAATGATACACTGTTTACTTTTTTGCTTATGATTTGAAAGTGGCCAATCAAAATATGTAAAATTTCTTTTTAATAGCGTCTTACTTAAAATACCTGTAGACCATGTGCTTGTACATAGTGATTGAGAAGTAACTTATTATCAACTCTTTGTTAGCCATGGATCAAAACCCAATATTGCCTGGAGAGTACATGATCCATACATACTTTTGTGTGACATAAGTCTAATGTGACAATCCAATGTTTGTACTATTAATCCACCAAAACCGGGAAAGAATGAAGGTATGTTACAGACAGATAGATGTACTTACTTGAGATATCTGCAGTCCCTGTGCCTGTACATAGTGATTGAGAAGTAACTGAGCAGCGTCCTTAGCTTCCAAGCAGAGAGTGGACGTCTGAGTTAGACCTCTGCTGTCTTCAATCAAGAACTGAGCATTGCATGTACCAAGCTGAGAAAAAGAGAAGATTGAGATCAAGCATTATAAGTGAACAAGTTTATGAACGTTCTCACTTGTGGAATAATAACATTAAAGCAAGGTCCAATGAAGATGATTTACTCTCGAAATGCTCTCATATTTCAAATATGACTACATTTACACGTAGTTTGCAACTTTGGACTGAATTCTGATGCATCATGCTTACGTATTCCGATGTCTCCCTTTCTTTGTCCACTGCCTTTCATTATTTATTTTCAGTCAGAATAAGTCACCTTTCATTCTCCAAATCTCACAATATCATTTTGCCTCGTTTACAACAAAATCATGCAGAACTTATACATATTTCCCTTCACAAATAGCCTCAGATAGGTGAGTATGAGTAGTTGTACTGACATGTATAAATACTTGCACAATGTACTTTGATTTGGTGCACTTTTAATAATAATAATAATAATAATAATAATAATAGTCTAATCTTATAAAACGCACACACCGTCCAGGGACGCTCATGGCGCTAGCTCAGCAACAGTTCTCTATGATACAAGTAAAGTAAATAATTTTGCAATATTTATATAACCCATTTCAATCGTCAGACAGAGGCGTTGTATAAAAAGTCAGTATCATCAAGCATGTACATTGATACTTACCAGTTGTATGATGTGAGTTGTTTCAAAGTCTACCAGAAGTCTGGATAGTATTAGGATGAGAGTGTGAGGGGCTGATCCTTTCTCTCCTCCTCCTTCACAAAGATTCTAAACACAAAAATACAATTTGATATGAAATTCAACATTTATACAATTTAGTAACAGGTTTTACTTTTTATTTGATCATGCTAAAAAATGAGAAGATTTTCAATCAACATTGAAATTGAGAAATTACCATGTTTCCTTACAATTTCTCTCCCTTTCACCGTATGCATGTACACTGAAGAATACAATTCCACTAAATACTTTGCAGACTTATATGTAATTCACCTAAAAAAACATGTACAAGGTTTTGAGAAATTTAATTTAATTTTCTTGGTTTGAACAATTATGGTGGAGTCATTTTATTTGGTCTGTTAAGTCAGTATGTGCGTTAAGTAAGACATTTTTCTGTCGTCAATCGTCACTAATAGAATTGAAAAGCTATGAAGGATATCACAGCTAAGATATACTGTTATTGCTCTGTGCTTAACTTGATACTATGATATGTTGCAATATATTTCTCTAAAATCCTAAACAGAAACCTTTAATACAGTTTACAGAACATTTAATGTTTTGTCACACTTTCACAATTAATCAACACTTCATGATGAAACAGTAAATTATCATCCCTGAATACTCACAGTACACGTCTGGAATATGTGCCTCAGGAAGTCCACTAAGAGCCCCTCTCGTACTGTCTTGGTGGGATACTTGGTTGCAAAGAACAAGGTCTGAGCGAACGTGATGTCTTGACCTAGGAATGACTGCAGGAGAAAGAGACAATCTAGATCAGTTATTCCTTTATCACAACTGAGGACGACAGAGTGATGGTATGCTCAGGAATACCACTTGGTTTCACCCAATGAAAATGAAAAAGAGATTCTTAAATGCTGGAGTCTCATATGTGCTGTACAATATAAGCCTGAAAAGCCTGACATGGGAAGGTGTCATGGCCTGAAATCAGGCATCCCTGTATTCTGCATAAAACATACATTGAAAACTATCAATATTGAAAGAGCTTTTTCCATTTCTATGTGCTATGAGAGAGTGTAGATGGCTTACAGATACAGCTCCAATAGGTGACTCTGCGACTCCAATAGTACTAGTGGAGTCACAGAGTGCCATAGTTTTAACCAGTACCTCAAAAAGAAGGCAGAGTATATTTGTTTCATATCCTACATCAAAAATTTATTTGAAATCCTGTATGCTTGCTGAATTTTCAACTCAGTGTAGATTGCACTGCGTAAGCCCCGTGACACTGTGGGAGTTGCTTGCTGGAGGCATTTGAAACCCTGTACGCTCGCTGAATTTTCAACTCCCAAATAGTACTCTTTCAGAGCAACCTTAAAAATGATTGATATATTTCTGGTCACTTGAAGAGCTCTCAACCAATATAAAAAACAATAAATTTTGGATGCAGGATATAATAAAGTATATTCTATGCCTATTAAAAAAAAAAAAACAGTACATAGAATATCATAATTAGATCTCTTGAAGGTTTACTGTACAGACTGCTTGGCCTTGAATGGCTTAAAGATATAAAGGATGAAGTATACCTTGAGACTGGTCAGCACTAGTTTGACTTGATCAATGACCGATGATGATGTCACATTGACTAGTTCAGCTAGGTTGGGTGCAGACTGTTTGCCGACCATTCTAGGGGCACACAGTGTCTGACGGATATCAGTAATGCACTCTGAAACAAGACAACAAATACATCATCATCATCAGACACGGCCACTTGGTAAAGCTTTGGAAAAAGTATATTGACTATTGACTTGAGGGATTCATGCTACGATGATTACAAATCACACTTCGTTGGCCAGAATATTTTTTTTTGCATTTTGTGTATATCCTAATATAGAGATTCCCAGTTTCAAATTATGTTCTAAAAAAATCTATTAAAGACATACTTTTGGGAGTGTCCATGTAACACACTTTGATTACATTGGACTTGGTGGAATTCCCTATTCATGCTTCTAGCACATCAAATAATTTAGAAACACATGAAACATGGCTTACCAAATAGGAGAGACTAGAGTGCCTTTGATTTATGTCAGGTCTAGTTAGTTTGCTGAAGTTAGTGAACAAATTGCACATTATGTCAGACATGTCACTTGTAAAGCAAAGTCTACCCCCAATGTTTGATAACGTCTGATATAAAATACCCTAAGTGTGACATTCCATAAACAAACTTTGAGTTAATATAAGTTTTGTTACTCACCAGCAAAGTGTTTCTTGAGACCATCACCATAGTACTGTGCTCTCTCCTTGGCCGCCGCTGCTACTATATCAGCTCCTCGTTGAAGGATCTTCAGATCAGGTAACAAACGATGTACAGCTTGAAGACGTCTGAAGAACCGATCTAATGCTCTCACTAGCAGGGAATTCTCAACTGATGATTTCTGATATGACAGAAAATTACAGAATATTCAATTTCTCCTCTCTAATACTACTTAAGAAGTTGAAAAGAAATCTGTTTCTTTATTGTTATTTTGCTAAATGATGCAGAAAAATATATCATTGCTGTCCACTCAAAATTGGCAACAAAGGAATGGCTGCATAATGAATAGAGCATTGTTTTGAAGCTCCAGAGATGACAACTGACAGCCATTAAACAATAGTATCATTTGTCTATGTAAGACAACAAAACATAAATCAGAGTTTGTGCCTTTTAAATCAGTGTTATATCTTCAGACAAATATTTCTAATAGAGATTTGTGCCTCCATGAGGTTTAATTTCGATTATTTATTTTCAAAGTACGATATATATTAAGAAGGTGTATTTACCTCAGCCTGTATTCTATCCTGGATACATGTAAAGTACTGCTGCATCCTGGAGTCTACAAACTGACCTAGCTTGGCATGGGCAACCTGCTCTAACTCCTCCTCTTCCTGGGAACTAAATGCAATTTAGATTGGATAAAACATCCATTATCACTAGTGTATTCAGCTTCAGATATTGCATTTCTTTCACATTTCAATTTCATTTCAATTTCAGTTTATTGTCCAATATTGGAAATTTGTTTTGCTCACATTTCACAAACGTACAAAGCATCAAAATAACTTTACATACATGATATATATCATATATTATGACATAGAAATCCTTCAGAATATTTCTAAACACTAGTTTTCTTACGTTATTATAAACAAAATAAGTGAATTATTTTATTAGTGTCCGAGTGAACGGGATGGCCCGGAAAGGTTACAAAATTAACATTACAGAAATAACGAAGAACGTAAAATTCAGGTAACATGTACTATAATTTACTTAAACTACATGTAGCAAAACACTAAGAGGGTTAGCATGGGGGAAGGGGGTCAGGGGCAACTTTTGAACATTATACCTGAGAGTCTCATGCATCATTTGATAAAAAGTGCATATACGTATTGCAAGCATTACAGATTTGTCAATTATATAATGATGTAACTATATGCAAAGTTTTTTCAACCCATGGCTGAAATGATTCCCTATAGCATTTTGAGGTTTACATTAGATGTTGTATATATGCGTTGTCCAATATCCTTCTACATGTAGGTAAATACTGATAGGTCATTAAATGTACTTACTCTCCGGCCTGTCTGTTTACAAAGAGTTCCTTGTAAGAGGCTATCACCAAACAAATGCTTTCAAGGAAACCATTACAGCTGCTGTCAACAAACTCCAAGATGTCCTGAAATAAGAAATATGTAAAATCATTGAGGAAAAAACTATAGAGGGAATCGTCTTCGCAGATATATTGATAGAACAGTTTTTTTGCTGAGGGACATGTTAAATTATTATGTTACTTATAATTCTTGATGGAAAAAAAATATTATTCTGCCATTCAAATAGAAGGAAGGGATATCTTTAATATTTTGTTGTATATACCAAAAAGGCTACTTCTCCATCTACAGCAACACACGCATAATGACCACATTGCAATTAAACAAAGTCTTGTGTTATTACAAGTAATGAAACTGAAATTCAATAAAACTCTTATTCTTTATCGAATTCCCCCAAACAATCACTGATCTGCTTCTATGAGTTTTATGCTTTTACTAAATGCTAAATCCCATTAAATTTGCATTAAAACTGCAGGAGAAACACGTGATGACATAGCATTCAAGCATACCATAGGAAGTGATCTCATGATCTTCTCAGCAGGTCTCTCAGACTCGTGTTCTTTGTTACCATGGTTACCATCCTCATCTTCTTCAGGACTGGATGCTGTTCTCTCTCTACCGGTCTTAACATGACTTGACATCTCTCTCAGGCTCTCATCTAACTTGCGTCTTGCACTAGAGTACATTAGAATCAATAACATAAACTGAGATCTACTAGTCTTAACATGATATAGGAACAAGTCATTCTGTTCCTGCATATAATTAATATGATAACATAAAAGATGACGCAGTTATTGACAAAAAATCTTTTATGAACCCTTGTTCAACTATTGGCCATTTATCAAATACAGGTAAGCAAAATATCTAATAAGATAAGAGTACATCCAGAATACTTTCCCCTAATGTTACGAACTGCATCTAGATTTGAGTATGTCACATTACTGAATGAAGTATTTAGTGTTGTCAAAGTTTGGATCTGTCCATATTATGGAGTAAAATAACGTATTTGATGTAAATTTATATGCATATATTTACAACACTTTGTAGCATACAAGACATCAAATCACCAAATACGTTGGAAAAGCCCCAAATTAAACCTTGAAGTAAGTATCCTTCACTATGAACATGACGAACAAAGAGGACAAAATATACAGTTCCTCATTCTACCCTCAACAATTTTTACATAATAGCAGTGAAGGGATGTTCCTTTGTCTACCACAGCAAAGTGAGGGTAGAATGAGGAACTGTATATTTTGTCCTCTTTCTTTGTCCGTCATTTTCATAGTGCTTACATCTCTCACAGGCAAATTTACATGCTTGTGTTCGGTGTTGTTACAATTTAGCGATATTAAAGTAAAGCAGATTTGACTATATCATCATGATTCATTCATACTTACTGAGAGAGAAACTCATCACAAAGCTCATCTGGTGGCTCTTTGAGTTGCAGTAGGAGATCTACACATTCAGCCAGCTGCTTAGCATCCGACTAGAAGAACAATCATCACATTAAGAATGTAACTATATCCACATTAAAATTGGTTTGGTTTGGTTTTATTTTATTTACATACAAACATCATAACACATAAATAAACAAAGTATTAAATATTTTACAAAGACTATTCCAGAAAAATAAAGTACTAAAATTGAAATGAAGATCTAGGGATCACCTGCTTTAGATCAACCGACAAAGTTGATCTGTTCTTCCTCGGGTCCCAAAATGGCTACAATAGATTTTTTAATTAATTAATAATAATGATGATAATATAAACAAAAACTAACAAAAATTCATGTCAGTAAAGTCACAATAACAACAAACAGTATTAGCAACAGGAGCTGACATCATGAAGTTGCATATTATATCAAAGCACAGTAGTAGTGGCTTTAACAGGAAGTATAGAATTCAATGATATGATTATTATGGGTTAAAATATGGGGCTGATTACTTTCATGACATTATACACAGTTGTTGTTTTTCTAAGGCACTATTTATTTGCAAATTTCTGTGGTTTAAAAATCCACTTTTTACATGAAAAGGACATAACACTTACTATGAGTAATAGAAAGGCCAGTAAACATCAGTTTATAGGGTTATTTGCATTTTATTTTGTCCACAAATCCTACGGATGAAATTCATGCATCCAAAATAGATAAACAGCCCAAAATACCAGCAAATACAAGAATAAATCTGGGTCCAATGAATGATTTCCTTACCTCTTTGTTACCAAATTGTTCTCTGAGCTTGAGTCTGAGTTCATTGACAATCTCATTGCAGTCTCTATGTATACCATGGAATGAGGGCATGTGTTGGTATTGAAGCAGTACAACCCGGGCTTTAGAGTAGTATCTGGGAGAATTCAAAGTAGAGACGGAGAAAGAAGTAGTGAGTTTATCAGAGTGATGCATATAGAAGAGTACTAAGAAAGGCATGATGGCTCAGTGGTAGAGCAGTGGTCTCGTAACCAGGAGGTTTCCGCTTTGAAACCAAGTCGATGTGCTAGTGCCTTTTGGTAAAAAATTACTCCTCATTAGCAAGTTCCTCAGAGAGGACTTACAGCCATTGGTCTCTTGGTTGCTTACTTACAAGCATACACACGATTTTATAGCAGTAAAAAAAAAAAAAAAAAAAAAAAGCACACACACCATCAAACCAAACCTTTTTCCTCAATTGTTAATGATGGCCATTGCAAAGCAAGCAACTTCCCAAAGTGCATTAATTCAGTGGGTTATTCAATTATTTTGCAGCATAAAACTTTTACATATCTGGATTACTTACATATATGCAACTTAATATGGAACTAAAATGGTAATGTCTCATGTTCTTTGTGCCAAAACTGGTAGTCTATAGAGACTGAAGTATACAAGCCTGGGCAACTTACCGGACCGCCTGGCTGTATGCTTTCATCGAGATACATTTATTGAGTCGAGCTGGAAGCTCAAACAGGAACTGCAACTGTGGGATAAAACAACAATAAGAATGAATTCATAAATCTAGTGCGCCTTTTGCAAAGTGACAAAAAACAGTTAATTATCCACAGGTAGTGAAATTACACCTTACTTGCAAGTAACAATGGTAATACTCAAAAACAAAACAGATCCATTTCATTCATCTATCCACCTCTATCTCTCTCTCTCTCTAAATATATATATATCTTGATATGTGCCAACCTTTCAAAGCAAAAATTGGGAATTTCTCAAGGCAAAATTAGGAATAGTATAGTATTAATGACTGCTTTGAGAGAAATAGTTGTTTTTATACGCTCAAGGGAAGGTTAGAATTGTGCTATTACCTGAGGCGTGCCGAGGGGAATAGCCCAATTGTAACCTTCCCGAGAGCGTATAAAAACAATTATATACCTCATTTTAAGATTCTTTACTAATCCTGTCTTCTGATTGGTTGAAAATGCAGTCATGTTCTTAACCATGCCCGCTAATTGAAATTCATAGTCATTATTCCCGGCTCTACCGGTTTATATCCATTTTTCATAGCACTTTTTCCATGGCTGTGAAACGTGACGTCATTTTGCTGCGATCCCCATTTTGGTTTACGTGTTACCGTATAAGTTTCTTTTGTGCGATGACCGATGCGCAATACCGTTAACGGTGTTTGAGTGCAATTCGATTTTGGTCGCTGCATTCAGGCGACGAATCTACCAATCCATGCAGCGCAGACGACCGATCGCCATTTTGTGTACTAGTCTCGATCGCAAAATACTGGGGTTTTTTGTTTCTAATTTTTTGTCAATAAAGAGGCAAAATGGAGGACACAGCTATGCCAAGATTTCAACTTATGGATGACATTCAGCTGCAAGACTTAATCGATTCTGCTGATAGCAAAAATACGAAGTATGCAGTAAAATACGGCATTAAAATATTTGAAGAGTTCTTGCGAAATGTCAACACGGACCTCGGAGATGTAAACAGACTTCCGAATGCAGACCTGGACAAGATCCAACAAAGTTATTGTTGGTGTTAATATTCATGACTTCAAAGAGATGGAAACCTAAATGGGTGAGTCAACATTTTCCTTTTTTTCGGTATATAAAATATATATTGACTGCTTTTAATATTCAAGGCATAGTTGTTTCTATAGGGTCTCGGGAAACTCACAACCTGCTATGACCCCGCGGCGCAAGCGCCTTGGGGTCATAGCAGGTTGTGAGTTTCCCTTGACCCTATAGAAACCACTATGCCTCTCAAAGCAGTCAATATATCCTTACTATTTCTCGAATATTAAAGCAGTCATTAATACTTTTATATGCCAAAAAAAAAGAAAAAAAGAAAAAAAGAAAAATAAACTTTTGTCGAAGATGGGATTCGAACTCTTGCGTACCAAAGGTGATGTTACTAAAGTCAGCGCCTTAAACCGTTCGGCCAGCGCGCTCTGTCACCATGGGCTGTAGTTTTCTTTAATATATACATTAAAATGAATTGAAAACGGCTTCGCGTGGTGGAAGTTTCGCGGCTGCTCCATTAAACGGGCCCTTCTTTTACTTTTGCAATGCATATTGGCACGAACTTAGATCAAGATCTATCGGCAGATGTTGTTTTTTTGTTTTTGGAAGTTTATTTTCGTCTTCATGTCAACAATGCAAGATAAAATTGTCGGTAAGATCGATCGAGATTCAATTGTATTGAAATTACCGACCAATTCTTCGCACACGTACGGTATCCTCGATCGCTCAGACCATTTTTTAACATGTAAACCTATGGGGTAACCATGGAGACTGACCTATTTTCCCAATAACCATGGTTATTGGGATTTTGAACTGTTTTTTAACCATGGTTACCGGGAATTTTCGGGAACAGTTAAAGTTTATGAATGCAATTTCGACCAATCAGATTGCTGGATTACTTAAGTGAGGTATATAATCTATTTTGTATACTTTTCACACAGAATATTCCAGAAAAAGAGAGGAATATAGGGTTCAAAGCAGTAGCTTGAAGACTAAAAAATTGGAATCAATCCCCCAAAATAGGAATAGTTGGCAGCTACATATATGTATATCTCTATCTATCTTCCCTTTTTTGAGAGGGAATGGATTCCACTCTGGGTAGCTCTGAGCTATTTCGGTTATCACGTTAATAAAAATCATTTTTTTACCTATTTGAGACAAAAATGGATGCCGCTCTGTCTGGTGATCAAATCTTTTAGGTGTGTGTATAGTGTGCTAACAAGGAATGTTTTGTTTACCTTCTTGAGAAGTGAATGGACACCACTCAGCTTAGTGATCTGTGCTCTTCTTTCCTGCAGTGTAGAGCTTATCTTCTCACTGAAGTCTGCGATGGTATCCATGTTGGTTGCTAAGCGATCCATTTCTTCCTCCATCTTCTTAAAATCAGTTTTCATCTACATGTACAATCAGAATAGAATCATTGATATCACAGTAAAACCATCATTTCAGGCATTCACCTATCATTAGGTCTTGATTGTAATATCCATAATCCTTGGGGGTATTGTAATCATTATGGTTCACATGTCAATTACCTTCAGAGACAATCAAAATATTGATCATTATATACACATAGAAAACAAATTCTCTGTTCATTAAACTTAGAGGATAGGAAACATTTCATTGTGCATACAGTGTAGTTAATCATCTGGTTGGGAGTTAGTCTAATTGTCATCTAGTTCACAAACATGTGTCTGAAATTACACTCCATCACAGCTCAAACATGACTAGAGCGACATTTTTACCTTGCGTATGGTGTCTGTGGCGCTGATGAATTTATTATAATTCTCATAAACCAATGTCTGCATGTCACTGTCTAGTGAGCGGATTTCTAGAAACGCAGAGGAAAGAATAGGAAAGAATGTCTCAATACATCATCATTACAGTGGAGGTGACTAAACTGCATCTTGTTTTCAAAGGCTGAAAAATTTGTTGCTATATGCGACATCAGTCGTAAATGACAGTCCTGAATGACATAATGTAATCTTAAATGTTCAATGAAGATTGTTTGATTCCATGAAACACACATATACATTGGATACACTGAAATCAATTATGGGTCGTATAATAAACTCATATACATTTGTTTAAAAACAAAATTGTTATGTTTTACAATGTGTTTGTTCTGATTTGTTTAACAAAACCAAATCTGCAGTTCAGTTGATCTATTTGCAGGCTTTACAAAGTAACTGAAGCCACGTTCAGATATAATTGCAAATTTGCATCTACGCAACAATTGTCCTTGACCACTGAATGGAAAGGTAAAACAACACTGTTCTTAATCCTGTGAATGCAAAGTAGATGCAGACTTACGTTTGACCATCTCAGCTTCCTTATCAATGAGATCATTGAGTCTCTTCTCCTTCATGATCATAGTAAGATAGACCTCAGGATTGAAGTAAGCACCGTTGATGTCGGTCGGATTCATGTTAGCAGGCTTCTCCTGCTGATCATCAAGACCGTAGTACATCTTCAGCATACCATGTTTCCTCCGGGACTTAGCAGCTCCACCCTCAGCTGAACCCTCACTCATTTTACTCCTTCAGAAAACAATCAGACAAAGGTAATATAGTATATGTACAAATATTTGATGTTTCAAAAGTGAGATTGTAAAACTATTACTCTTTCATGATGTGAAAGATGCAGCTGTGAAAGCCCATCTGTACTAATGTACAGGAGGGATTAGACCACCCTGCAAGGTCACTAGACGGATGGTTATCTCATCAAATCAGCTCTCAATTAACATAAGAAAAAGAGGATCATGGGGGATCAATGGTTACCAATTATGCATTGTTTGTTATATAGAGGGCGCAAGTAGCTATAAGTAGTGCAGTGGGGCTTTAAAGCAAAGCCATCGAATCTAGCAACATCTTGACCATCACTAAGTTAGACTGTCCAGGCAATCAAACATTGCATTTTGATCATAATCACTACACTACAATCTATACACCAGCATACTACTTTCTCCTACTAGCCTTCATGGCTCCACTCTCAGATTGTTATAACACAACAGTCACACAGCACACACACACATGCCAACATTTGAAAATCAGAAATCTGTACAAATTATGCTATTTTCAAAAAAAAGAGGAACAATCCTAACTCTCCTATTCAATACTACAGACAAATTTGTACAGGAAGAGGAACACCTGCATTAAAATGATAATTATCTTCTCCCCAAAAGAGGAATGTTCCTCTTTAATCTGAACAGTTGGCATGTATGCACACATTGGACGAGTGTCTCAGATGAACCTGTTCTTGTGCTCACTCATTCTAACATTCATTAGTTGATGCAATGTCACATAAATAAAAGCTGAGCGACTGTGACATAAAAGGCATTACATTACAACTCCACACATCTACTACTGTTATTACTAGTAGTAGTAGTCCAGCGAATGAATAGAAATCACCACCCATCCAATGCACTGTACGATATAATATAGACATATTATATGAATAGTACCATAAAGGTTCAAATTTCACTTGAAATGGTATTATAAATGCAGTTTATACATTATATTGCAATCAATGTATAAATAGGGTGTCTGATTGCATACCATAGAAATTGCATGCATCTCTATGCAGTCTACGTGCATTGCTTGCTTATACAAAATTTGTGAATGTGTTCATTACCAAATTGTAATTCAAACCTTTATCGCTCGCGATCCTGAAGGCGATGCACGACAAATAAGGTGTCATATGAAAGAGCAGGTTTTTCTCATATCCCCCCAAAAGGGTCAACTCAGAGCTCTACAAATATCTTGATCAAAATGGTGATTTACATGTAAACATTGTTTCCATCGTAGCTCCGAGATTTCCCACTTTCGTGAAATGACCGCCTGAGGGACAAGTAGTTCCAAACGTAAGGAATATATCCATGCGCTTATGTTTTCGCTAGTCCGAAGGGGTCACATGCGATTAGTTTGAAAATACCCTTCCCCCCACAAACATGACAGACGTCGAAAGATGACGTCATTCATGCATGAGCAGTGCCAGTGACCGAGTTGAGTAGAGTGACAGAGTAAGTTAGATCTTATAATACAACTGCAAGATTTTCAACATGACCCTAGTCTACTCGAAGAAAAGTCTAACAAACGAAAGAGACAGAATGTTTGGTCTATGAGTATGATAGTATGAGCTATGTTACTGCAACTTGTTAATATTATTCAGCTGCGCTAATCGGACATATCGGGACCCCGCCCCACTGGCGGAGAGGCTACGGCAAAAGCTAAAGTAAAGTAAAAGCTCGCGATTACATGTATATGTACGCACACACCTCAATTTTAAAGTCCGAAAATCATTTAATTAGATAAATTTATGAATCTATTGTTGCATTAATGTATGCTACATATTCTAAACATTCGACATTGTGAAATATACGGCAGAAAACTTACTTTATCGTCACTTCTTTAGTCTAAGAAATATGCTCTTGACGTCTCCTAAAACATCAATTTTTTGACTTATGGTGTTGTGCAGTATGCAAATAAAAAGGGGGAAAATATTTTACGAGTGTACAGCTAGTATGCACATTTCAGGCACAGAGCAGGGAAATTCGAGGGGCCAATGAGATTATCTGAAAACACTAAATCCAAAATCTAGATTTTGATTTTCTAAAATAGGATGTATGAGTCCTTGAAAATGAATTTAAACCACACATCGTCAACATATGTTATGAGAAGGTCCCCTCCTGATCAACTACCCAATTACCATAGGCATTATGGTACAATTGTAATAACATATAGGCTACTATACCTCGGCTTGAGATCAACAGCCCGAAATGTTCATCATCTTTAACATTATTCAGAAAAGACTTCACAATTATTTTCATGTAGATTCAGTAGGATTGGTTGCTTTGAAAAGACTTTTACACGCTGGGTAACGCATTTGACGTGTTTAGTTTTATAGTGTACGTTGGATGCAGTAATACAAACAATGCTGATTTAACAGTGTTAGGTCTTTCACTCTTTGAATGAATGGTAGGCTATATTACACTTGAATATAAGGGGAGTTTGTAACTCCTGCTTCAGGTAGATCCTATAGTCAAACCTGAATAAAAATATAGATGTCTATAGCCTACTCGAGTCTAAACGAGGTTAAAACGAGATCAATATACCCTGTCTGCTGTTACATTTAACGCCACCAACGGTAGAGAAAACCGCTGTTTTGTGGTAGGCCAGAAGCAACAAATGTTGTTGGTCAATGGTGTGATGAATTGCTGTTGATATAACATTTTCAACATTCATGCGAATACATGCATTACAACATGTGTTCCGACAACGTTTGTTATTATATAAAAGTACCAGCGTCCTTTATTTGAACCACAGACACAATGGAAAGTTGTCTTATCGTGGCTCCAAACACAACGTTCAAACAAACAATATTCATTTCTTGGTAATGTCATATAAATAGTGCAATTATAATTAGGACCTTTATTTACTTAATGGCCTTTTAATACGTGAACATGAAAACTATTCTTATTTCAAATAAGCTTTGATGGCGACAATTTCTCAGTTTTTCTCTGGTCATGTAAAGTCTTTTATTCTCATCGAGTAATCAGAAGCATTCAGCTGAACGACTGGTTTATGTAGAACTTACTTTATTTTAAACGGAATTTGGGACATGGAATTAAAGGAAAACAAAGATTAATAGTCTATGACTGAGGCCCCGAACGGCCATATAAATATTGGTGTAAAAATCGTATTTCATTCCGAGCCTTCAATTCATTCAAAGAGTCTAACAGATTGTTAGTCCACATATCGGCAAAAGACGAATAATGAAATTGTCAATTTTTGTTTAAAATTGTTTTGTCTGAAAATAAAGTGCTGTTTTATAAAGCTAGGTACTGCTGGTAAAAAGGAAAGAAAATGCAATTTTTGCAAATTTCCGGACAACCCAGAGATTGAAACTCACCGCCTTTGATTATAATGAGCAGTCGAGTTGAAGGTCGAACCATGAGAAGGATGTCAAGTCTTTGACCCGTTTGAGGATGATGAAATATTGACGAGCTTAATGATCCGAAGAATTACTGAGAGACAAACTTTTCTTAATTAAAGTTGATGATTCATTCGACATTTCCGTATAATGCGCCATCTATTTCGAGGTGCATGAGTTACATCACACCGGCCATGCTGGCTAAGTGTAATAAGTGTGGTCGTCTCGACCTACTTCGAAATCAAAATGTCAACATTATTCTGAAAATCAAGTATGTTTCATTGACCTGATCGATTCTTTATAAAAAAAAACATGTTATGTGAACAGAAAGTTGAATTTTTTAAAATGAATTGTTTAATGGCGATCTTAGAAAGGCTTGTTGACATTGTGAAGATAAGATGACCCCAATATTTGTGTAGGCTATGGGCATCTTTCATTCATTTGTATTTTTTGCTTATAAATGTAGTAAGAACACGATATGTTTTCGAAAATCCACTCTAGGATAATTTCAATACCCTACTGTACACCCCATATAAATCATGTTCGCACATTGCAATAGGCGACGCATAAGGTTATTGAACTTGCTTTAGGATGTTTTTTCGAAAATAGTGGTGATCAAGTTTTAATCATTATTTAATTATTTATGTTATTACTAAAGTGTTACAGTAATGTTGTTGATAACATAACTAATTAATAATTCATGCCAGTTGCATAACACGAATCCCGCTATCGAGGGGCACTAGCAATAATTGGGCACTAGGGGGCGGGGGGGGGGGGAGCTTCTTACAAAGTGGATGAAATGGGAGGATGTGTATCTTTTCTCAACTTTCCTATGCCCTATCTTTCTTACTTCAACTCTTTATTTATTATTTTTCGGTTTCCTCTTTTGGTTTTGTTGTTGCTGCATGAATATAGTTTGAACCCGAATTCTATGACAGAGATAGCTCTGGCTGGAGTTTATGGGAAAATGCGAGTTATGTCAAAACAAATATCGTATAATAACTAACAGGTTAAGAGTAGTGACCCACTATCACGTGTCTTTTTCCCCATTATAATTGGTTCATTTGTTGTAAAACACATCGAACAGGCAGCGTGAAAGCTGATTTTCAAGTTTTCGATTTATAGAAAATGCATAAACAATGTTTTTTTAATGATGAAAAGAACATAGGAAACAAAAACTGCAGAAGAGGGCTTCTCATTTTGACGATGTGCCCCCCTTCAGTCTGCCCCTCCTCCATCTCACTTGAGTGATTGTCGTATTCATGACTATCTCACTTCACACCCGTGCAATCTCTTCAAGACATCTTGTTTCGGGATGGTAAAAATCATTTTCTTAATGATGATCGTTATAGTCGGTGATTAGATTACCCTTTTTATTGTCTTGCTTTTGTTTTCGTCATTTAACTCTACTCAAGCATGACGGGCATTATAGTAAGGACACTTCCCCGGTCTTATGAATGTTAGCAGCATTTATTCAGCGGATCCGGTCACCACCCTTCCTAATAAAAAAAAATAAAAAAGGGGGAGGGGAGTGGGAAATTTTGGGAAAAAAAAGAAAGAAGTGGATGAAATATTTTCGAGATTATTCGAAAACGCACCCAACCCGAGTTTTCGGGAACCTGGCAGGATTTCCGAAATCATATTCCCGCGAGAAGATCATTTTCTTCAAGAAAGTGTTTCTCAGATTCTATCCATTACCAATATTTCTTATCATATGGTCCGAAGGTTAACGAACAATTTAAACAAACAAACAACTTACAAACAAACAAACACAAATATAAGTGGGCTCACGAGTGTATTAAGATATTTTGTATCTCCTCTGCTACAGACGTAAATAATCATATCTGATTGATACACGTCTGTAAAAACCCAATACACACACTATCTCCACTGCTCCATACAATGTTATCTTGTCACAATAGATGGATGAATATTAAAATATTAGACAACTTTAGTGTTGATACCTATGAAATATTGGTAGCAGTGCGGTTATTTTTATTTCTAAACCTCCTACTCATTTACCATAATTTGGTCAAGGTCCATTGCCCATTGAATAAAGAAAAGACCATACACGTCATTCTTGATGACAACGGCGGATTTAGGGGGGGGGGGGGGCAAAACCAACTCCTGTCCCTCATGTAGACCTAAAAATCACTGACAAATATATTAAAACCTCAAGATGTCTGTACTCCCATGTCCAGACCCTGATGTAAAATTCTTGATCCGCCCCTGGTTGATGATGTCATGTCTCTGTTGACTTTCAATGATAGTGGTTGATTATCCTATACTTACATCGTTTTAGTTGATTGGCATCCATTCGCCCATTTCATTGCAAGAATAGGAATATACCACGAGAAACAAACGTTGCCATCAATTAAGGGCGTAGTGTTTTGATATTGTTCCGGGGGTGGATGATAAATTCACAAGTCATTCACCTAGCCTGCAAGTCGTGGGAAAACTTTTTTTTTTAAATCGCCAAGCTATGCCAACTTTACAAAAGAGTTTGTCCTTAAAAAGAGATTTTTGTTTAGCGACCACTTGGGCACGTCCACAAGTGCCAGAAGAAGGGAGGGATGGGGAAGATGTTCGCCCCATTCCATGAAAATGTATGCTATCATTAATAAAACATACAAACAATTATATGTTATGGTGAGTGTACCGACTGTCCAACATTGTGATATAAATATTCTCTCCCCCTCTCTCTCTCCCCCCTCTCTTTCTCTCTCTCTCTCCCTCTCTTTTCTCTCTCTTTCTGTCTGTCCCTCTGTCTCCCTCCCACCTCTCTCTTTTCTGTTGTCTATTCATCTCTTTACGCAGTTGTAGCTCTCTCTTTTTCTACTTGTATCTCGCAAAGAATCTCCCTGTCAGTACTGCGTGAATCCACCTTCATCAAACCGTCATGCCCTTCGCGTGTGATTCACAGAATAACTCAGTCAAACGAAACACCTGTAGGTAAGATATATCATTGTTAAAACCAGACGAATAAATGTATCGAATAAATGGTTCGTAAATGAAAGTATTGATAACATTAGATGTTTGGTAATGAGCCATGACTTCTAATTAGAAGAGTTCGATGAGGCGAGTAATCTAGATCAACCATGAGCTGCCATTGGTACTATTCAAAACTTTTCACAATATTTATCTGGCGGGTTAAAGAACGAGTCAAACGGTTGAATCCACCAAAGCTAACGTCGAAAAAAATACATCGAGAGAGAAAGAGAGAGAGAGAGAGAGAGAAAGAGGGGAGAGAGACAGAAAGAGAGAGAGAGAGAGAGAAAGAGGAGAGAGAAAGAAAGAGGAGAAAGAGCAAACAAGCAAGCAAACAGGCAAGCAAGCAAAGAAACAAAAAGCAAAGAAACAAACAAAAAGCAAAGAAACAAACAAAAATGACATGCTTATTAAAACATAAAGAAATGGTTGGATTAACTCCCATATTTAATACATATTCACAAGAGCCAATAATGTCCACACATATTCACTTTGCGAACTTTGTAACATTTGAAAAGAACAGGGTCTTCATAGTTTGGTTTGGCTTTCTTTTGACCCCCCCCCCATATTTAGGTGGGGGGGGGGCACGCCATAGAGGGTTAAACTTACATGTGTGCTTTTTCTGCTTTTATAGTACATATAAAACTCATGTTTCGTGCTAAAAGGACGTATCAGCTATCAAATGCAAGGAATGCAACGTTTAAAACCCCATTGACATGATGAACGTTAGGCCTAAAAATAATAATGTTGTAATGCCCTTTTGGAGCCAAAACATGGGTCGGTCGGATGTTTAAAAAAAAAAACACTTTTCTTCTTTTTTCTCCCTCTTTGGGCTGATATTTCTCAGTTTTGAATGCTTTAATATTTTTTTTCTCTTGAAAAAAAAACACTTAAAAAGTCGACCTTAGATTTCAAGATTTTGGGATCGGTCGCAAAGGGCAATTCAACATCCTTTTTTAGGCCTTACATGGTAACATCTATATTTTATATTTAAGCTTATTGCAGGCATGTCGTGAATATATTTTGTTTGATGCGCTGTAGAAACTGTTTTAATCGTCAATGTCTGTATGAACCGAAAACGCCGAAATACAATGAAAGCACCATCTAAATATAGAAAAACAAACAGTGACAAAACAAGTACACAACTGAAAAAACCCATTAAAAATGATTTATCCTTTAATTCTGAGAAGAACTCACCCTATATGAAAAGGAAATTAAAACAACATTTGGAGTCGTGTTTACTGTACAGTTAAACCAGCGCATTGACCCAGAAAGAATATGAAATCCTAATGTGTCGTGGTGTGTGTACATCCTTGAGGTCACGTCGATCACATTATAACATGTTGATCTATATTACTGAGTAATACGCTTATAGTGTAGCAGGAAAGAAAAGATTTCATTATTCTAAGCTTAAATGATTATAATACTTTATTACTTCGCTTACAGTTACTTTGACAGCATTATACTCTCCCTCCACCCCTACAAAATGTTAGACATGTTAGGCGTGTGATGCGGTAGGAAGCGAAAGTTAAAGTAGTTTGTGAGCGTCTGTATTAAAAATGACGCATGCCTGGAATGCTTCCCAGGGAGTGGAGAGTGTGCATACATTGTGTGCGGGTAAGCCTGAATCCGATGATCGGGGTTATAATATATTTGTATAAAGCGCTTATAGAGTCATCGTTGATGTATTAAGCGCTATATATAAGCGGAATATTAGTATTGCAGATGGATTCAAAGTGATCATGTATTCAGTTATATGTAGTATTTGTAAATCATGAAATTCCTCCTTCTCTCTCAACAAGACGTGAAATCATCAATATCGAATCAAGGTTGGGACGGGGGGGGGGGCACGTTCCCTTGGCATACCCAAGTGAGGTGTATAGCAAATACAGACTAAGTAAAAAAATAACCCACCAAAGACGGCTGAAAAGGTGACAACCTTAGATCCCCCTTGTGTTTTTCCTTGTCTGGTAATTCTGAAGTGAAAAGATAACCCCACAATACTTGTCATAATATTTTCTTATTCGTACACACCCCTTCTTATACCAATTCCCATGATTACCTTGACTACGGTTAGTGTACTTTCTAATAGGTTATGTCGAATTGATGATTCAACAAAATACTCTGGTAAAAACGAATTGGAACCATTTATATGGTTAGGAATCCATGTTCTCCTTTTATGTCATTCTCCATGGAACAGACCTACAAACATTGTAATTGTACAACAAAAAAAAACCCACCAGGGCCTCGTCTTGTAAAGCGTTGCGATTGATCCGAATCAATCGCAAGTCCTCCAATCAATCGCAAGTTTACAGTCTCTTATCTCTTATGTACATACTTAGGTGCGATTGGTATCAAATACAAATACATTTTTGATTAATGGCAACTGTTTATAACACAGGGCCCAGGAGTAATAAATCATGCAGTGTAAAGGAGGGATATGTACAATTGTGTCTGAGAGAAACATTAAGACTACTTAGGAATTAAGTGAGAACATTTATTTTGCGAAAAGAAACTTTTCTTTCACCAAGGCATTAACATTACAAGATACAGATAAGCCTTTTTTCAATTTCAAAGAATGGTCTACATGGTATAATGCTGTCTAAGATTGAAATGTATTCATCCCATTAATAACACATATGTCCAACCAAACAACTGAATAGCCTCACGGTGATTTATGTGTCACATATTTTTGTGATTAGGATTCTCAGTTTCAATTTATTCTATTTCAGATGAAGCATAGATAGTGACATCGCTACATATTCTTAAGATTGAGAGAGAAAGAGGAAGAGGAAAAAGTCATTTCTTTACCTCTTTTCTTGCTTAATACCATTCTTTAGGGATCAATACTGTTTCCTTTTGTAAATCTTTGCCAATCTCTATTCGGATAACGCCATTAATCCAAATTAACAGATTAGCGTCTATTGGACTAGAATCGCAAAAGCCCCGTTTTAGCGGCATTCTCTGAGCTAAATCACGTCATGAAAGGAGACTGATCTCCCAATTTAAAACGAAGACGGTTCGGATGAAACCTATCAAGATGAGTACTCTATTGATCGTATCTTCATTGCATGGATAGAGAGGGGCGACATAGCGGCACACACTTGTTGAATACATCTTGTATTGTCCGAGATCGTTTCAACTCGACCGGGCGCCTTATAGTGAAGAGTCACTCTGGCCGCGTATTGTGTCTCACTTACTCTTCAACACAATACCCGTTGTTTAACACAAGTATTCTAATAGACTCCCCCTTTTCTGGACTCTTTTGATTTATTAAAGCTAGAGTTTATTTCCCTTGAGATTGTTTGGGGTCTTAACAAGATCATAACACACACGGAGAATGACCTCTTTATTAACTCGTGGTAATGAAGTAGGACCAAATTAACGGATTTTCGAACGTTTTACGCCTATTGTACTCTTCAGATAGCCTTCATAACTGATACCTAACGTATGACTCACAGACTTATATGAATTGTAAAATCTGAGAAAAAAAGACAAATTTGTAAGCTTTCGTTCCCTGGTCATCATGGTCACAGTCAGTTAGAATATACAGATACAATAAAAAACAACGTGCTTCGATCTATCTAAAAGTCATTGACAAACGACACATGGGGTTTTATTCATAATTGAATAGAACGATACCATAGAAATACACAAACCGCATTTCATAAAAACGATATTTCAAAGCCCATAAGCTGTACAAATTGATATTATAGATTCTACTTTATTTTACACTCTTTACCATATGCATGTACAGGGAAATCATAATTCTAATCGGTTGTGAATGAAAGAATCATTTATATCAAATCTAACAAACTATTCCAGTATATAGATTGAACTAATAACTGTTATCCAAACGTTTATATCTCCCAAAGAGTTCCTATCAAACATTCGATGATATAATATTGATGACATGCTCGATCAAATGACTTGAAACCAGTCGAATTGATTTAAACATGATAAGGAACTTTAAGGTGGATTAGCATCAACTGAATTGAAATCGCTCTAGAACAGAAGACAATTATTAAAAGCCATTGAGTCCATTTGTCACTACTACGACGAGATACAAAGAGATACTGCACATGGCAGGGCGTAAACAAATCGCACTAATAGGAAAAGTCAAATACTTTGGTCATGTTAAAATGCACCAAAGCCTCTTAAAAGATATGTTGGAGGGAAGAGTAAAAGGAACTAGATCGAGAGGGAAGCCCAGAATCAACTGGTAAGAGAATGTCTAGGACTGGAGTGGACTAAAAGTGCAAGAGTGCACCAGAATGGCAGAAGATAGAGTGAAATGGAGAGATGTTGCAATCAACCTCCGAACCGGGAGAAGATACTTAGATACTTAGACAACGCATCTTTTTCTTTGTTTTGTGTAGGCTCAAGCGTAAAACAAAACAAACAAACCACACACACACACATACGCACACGCACACACACACACACACACACACACACAAAATAAATAAATAATAATAATAATAATACAATTAAAAAATCAAATAAATTTAAAGGCGACAACAACCTTCTGAGGGAAAAAATGAAATGATGACTTTAATTATCACTGAAATATGTAAATACCAATAAAAAAACACAAATAGTTTATATAGCCTATATATATATTACATGGAACAAAGAATTATGAAATGTGTGTGTGTGTATGTTTGTGTGTAAGTGGGCGTGTGTTAATAAATGGATATACATTAAATTTGGCATTTTGTTCTTTCCAAAAATCTTTCCCCCATACCTTTCTCTTTTGTTAGCCTAACATAAATAGGATTGATAAATTATTGATTGAGACACCATCTAATACGCCAGTGTACAAAACAAAACAACAACGACAAATATCATAGATTTATTTGTATATTTCCATCATGCACATAATTATTATATGTATCTGAAGTGAATAGCTGGATAGCCTTTTAACAAAGAAAAATCAGAAGCAGAAATCAGAACTCTCCCGACTATTGCCACGGTAACGATAGATCCAGTTAATAACTAAATTATTCATACCCTAACATGCCCTAACCAAGTTTTACAAGTTGTTAAGAGTGTGCGAACAGTTGATATGTCCCAATTTAAGTTTCTTGAGAATGTGACATATTAAAGCTTACATCTAAAAGTGTTCAACAAAGGCTCTAATTCAACCAGTCCACCTTTCATTCTTGAGTCACAAAAAACAACCCAAAGAAAACATTAAATTTACAAGGTATTGGTTTAGGAGTTAACTGTAAATGGCCACCATAACGATCATCAGTAGACGAAAGGCGCATTCGCTAAATATATAGATATAGAATATTCCGCTAACCTATCCTATCTGGGTTTCCACCCCACACCCCTTCCTCACACCCCTTCCTCTCCCCCTCTCCCCATCTCACCCCACACACTATCGCCCTCATTCTCTCTCTATCTCTCTCTCTCTCTTTCTCCCTCTTTCATTCTCCCTCCCTCTCCCTCCCTCTCGCTCTCTCTGTCATATCTGGCTCTTCAATTTAGAGGTTACATCGGGGCTAGTATGCCTATTTGGGACTGATTGATGGTTGTGTTTGATGCGAGCCTACCAACCCCAATGAATACCCGTGCGCTAAATAGATACGTCAAGCTTGCCTTCTCGACACAAGACCGTTCAGTCTCGCTCAGTCATGGATGGCCAGAGCCCCACTCGCGAAACCATTATTCGTCCAGATACAGTAACAGATGTAGCGACACAGAGAGACAGAAAAAGCGAATAAAACAAGAAAAGAAAGAGAAGGATCGTTGAGGCACAACGAGGGAGAGAGAAAGAGAGAGAGAGAGAGAGAGAGAGAGAGAGAGAAATAGAGAGAAATAGAGAGAGAGAGAGAGAGAGAGAGAGAGAGCCTCTAAAACCTTTGCGCCCGATTGCCTTTCGTACGAGTTTGTAAAGCTCATTTAAAGCTGAGTTTACGCATTGATATAGACCAATACCGGGGACCTGTACTGCATTTCTCGGCTTCCTTTTCTAATTTTTGTCTCCATTTTCCCAGCCCTGTTTCATTTCCATCGCATCTCAGCAGGATGACTGGTTGGACAATCGAACATTTCTTCCTCATCACTTTTCTCCAATAGCATCGTCGATTCCAAGCTTTTAGATGAGCAAACATCAATACGACAACTCGCCAGTGTAGTCCGGTCGTCGTCGTTTTAGCTCGCTGATATCATCGACCAGGGAGATATTTTTCTTCTTGTTGCTGTCGTTGTTGACATGATGATGCCCAATTTTGCCCTAGCTACAATACGGATTTCTTTTATTCTTGTTATTTTATCACGGGTTACATGTTCTCCTCTCGACGCCACGGAACATTATGGGAAGAGGCGGCGAGGCGGGTCGGCGTCACGCCGAACACCAGGCGGCTTACGATCCGAGCAAGAGGCACCACCATGGCATGAAAACGATTCACCCTACGGAAACAACGACCAAAAATCGAACGATGTCGATGATGACGAGCAAGAGGATGAAGAGGACGACTATTCGGATTATTCAAACCCTAAAGTTGAAGGGGACGCCGAGAGGAGGTTACTGACATCATTTGGCCTCTCTGCACTGCCGAAGCTTGATAAAAAGGCCGTGAAAGAAGCACCTTCTTTTATGTTGGATCTCTATGAAAAGTTACAAGGTTCGCAAAATGATAAAACCTCGGAGGATTTTAATCACGATGATGATACAGCCCCAGCAGCAAATACAGTCAGAAGTTATTCAGAGAAAGGTGAGTTTAAAAATTGTATTTCCACTTTTTAAATATAAACGATTAAGTCATTGGTATATGTAAAAACAATCAACTAGAAAGGAAAAACACACATCAAAAGGGGAATATATTGTGTAATCTGTAATCTGTCACCTTTGCAATTAGCGTTATGGATAGTCTTACAATTTCCGTGGAATTCATGACATCTCAAATGCTGATAAGCATTACGTGTCATAAAGACTACCAATCGTCTTAAAAGTATCGTTCAGTGTCGATAATTCAACTAGTTTGTATTTCATCAATTTGATAATGTATTGAGAATGTTTTCAAGGCAAAGAGGGTTTGCATCGAATGGTATTGGAACCAACTCTAACTTGCAAGGCGCCACAGGCCAGTCCGGTGCCGCCACAGTCAAATTAAGCTAACATGCTGGCGCGTAGAACTCGGACAATCACAAGTAGGCCTCATTAATGTCCAGTCACATGTCGAAATAGTAATTAAACGAACATTGCCTTGGGCTGATCATATGAATAAGTTCTAGGCTTGCTATTCTAATAACATGAATATAAATTGACTTAAAGTAACGGTGTTCAGTTTGGTAAGTAGCGCAAAATGCCAGACTCCTTATAAAAATAAATATATATATATCACAATATTTTGAACGTGAATTTGTGAGGAATGAAGAAGTAATGAAGCTCAAATTATTATTCCACTAGTTACTCTCAATATAATCTAAACTATTAAAGGTAGTTTTAACGTTATGACATGGTTATGAAAATGCCATATTTTTTTTTTTAATGTAAGAAAAGGATATCACTGGAAGTTTTAGGGATAAAATGGTAAATGTTTTGTTTAGAAACTTCAATATCGATTTTCAAAAAGAATGAAACAAAGAAAATTATATTTGTAATGTGTCATGGATAACTATGGGTTATTATATACAACAGGGTAAAAAAAGAAGTAATTTCAAAGGAATGCCTTGAAACTATCACCATACGTAAAAATCTCGCTTCCCAGAAAATGTTATCCTTGACAAAAAAGTACGTTTCAGAATAAGCTAATGGTGCCTTTAATCCTACGCGAGAGAAACGTGATTCAGACACGAAGAAATATGTTGTTTTGCAAGGTACTACTACTACTAGCACATGGTAGTACTTCTTGCATTACACATGTAGCAAAAAGGCATTTGATGTTAAAAAAAAGCCTTTATTACGTGTTTTCCGTACATTATATAGATTTGCAATGTGTTTTCCATATTTTTACCATTTTGATTCTACTTTTTAATTTTGTGTTGCTTTTCGTTTTTAATTACTTGTAACAATGTGCTGATGTTCGGGATCTTTATATAATACAACTGTTAACCTCCAGTTTAAACACATTTACGGCGTCTTCTGGAAGAATCCTACCAAGTATCAAGTAATTGGAAACTCTTTTCTATATAACATCAACTAAACATAAACAAAAAATAATATAAAATATGATGACATGTGTAGGGCGAAGTTGATAATCATAAAAATCAAACCAATTTAAAATAAATATTTAAAAATAGTGTAAAAAAGATGAATGTTATATCGAAATGCATGAATACCATACACCACTATTTAGAATTGTAATAGTAAAGTCCTTATAGGTAGTTTTCTTGACTGACATGACACCTAGATTGAGAACAAACCCCATTGTGAGATCAGTGTCTTGCTTGATATCCACACCTTGAATCGAAGATTGCGAAAATTAATTATTGAAACGAAAAACGTACAAAAAGCCGGTTAGATGGGGCGGGAGGAAACAACCAAGGTTTCTTTGTGAACTCAGAGCAGCTTGGAACAGGGATGATTAACTGTGTAAGGTAATGGGGTGAGGAGGAAATTAATTATTCATGACATCCCATGGGACTGCATCCATTCATACTCCATCCTCCTACATTCAAATCGGAGCCGGAGAATGAGGTAACCGTCCCGAACATGCATCTCATCATTTTCATAATCATAGCCAGGCATGCGGGAATTTCCTCTCTCAGGATACCTGCATTCATAAACCAATAATTGTACCCATATTGTTTGTTTACATCAATTTGGGCATTTTCAGAACGGCTGGTTGAAAATATATCAAGAACCTACTCTTTCCTTTCATTTCCTTCTCTTATCGAGGCACCTACTGTATATGAACTACCAACGTAAATGAATGAATGACAATCAAATCGATTAAACAATTTCCAGGAAGAGATCAAAACGCCATTAATTATTCAAAATATATATTTCAATGAATTCCATTTTGTTTTCGATTGTTAGATACATTCCTCATTGATCTCTGTAGATAAGAAATGTAATAACACCAGTCAATTAATTTGAATTCGAAACAAAGCATCGTGCTTTTCAATCACCAATTTGAACAAAGGGATGCCTTTTTATCAACTAAAACATAATTTATCCTTGACATGCATTGAACATTGTATTTTTACATCACTAATTAACCATGCACCATTTGCAAGGGAATAGCGCAGTCTTTAAAAATATATTTTTGTATTGTAAAAATTAAGTCTTTAATTAAGATTAATTTCATTTAATTTGTATCCGATTTATGGGGAATAACCAATTTTCACTAAGACCAGACTGTACTTTTCATACTGTCAATCAAAAAGTGTGATCGATTTACAAGAAATTGATCAATAGTATACTTTTCCCTAACTTTGGAGTCGGTCAAAATGTCTCTGGATAATTGTCCACATCTGTTTTTTAGTTGTGCCATTTAGTGCTGCCTATAACGATTAATGACGTCTAAATTATATTTACAATCAGTTATGGAAAAGAATTTGTATTTTTCACTCTTCTGTCAGTTAGTATATAGCTATTTTAACGCAAATTCACAGTACAGGTTTCCGTCCAGTTGACATTTATTTGGGTCATAAATCTCAATACCAATTTTGAAGCATTTTCTCTACTTTCTTTGTCGTGTGTACATTTTAGATGTAGATCTAGATTTAGAAATGCACAACACTTATTCGTAGAAAATATGATTTGAAGTGGTATGATAAGTATGCCGATCATGCTTATATTCCTGCAGTACAAATACCCACTATGAAGTGGATGTGCAGTAACATACATGCCGGTCAATTAATCAAATCTTCACTGGAAAATTAGGGATTTTTGGCAGGGCAACATGAATACATTTACAACTTTGTTGGAATTAGAATCTATTGTGGAGAATTGGAAAGATGGGGGTGTAAAGTCCGTATGTTGAGACGTAATGAATCATTAATGCTTGATGGTTGAAATTCAGTTTGATTTATCTCTGCCTCTGGTCGGGTAATTCACAGGAAACCAAGAGGAATGTGAGATCAATATTCAAGAAAGTGCATTATTTGACATCAGTTATAGAAGGAGGGAAATTTATCAACAGTCAACTTAGTCAATGATACTACATTGCTACCTTTGTTGATACAACTCATATCAATCTTTCTGTAATTCCACCTCTGTCACTGTCTACTGCTTTACCATTTTTGTATATCTATCTACTCCTTAGCATCTGAGCTGTTTAAATTATATAGTCACCGCTCCTATAGTACGTCCCATTTAAAATTAATTGTATAATTTCAATTATGTTTCTAACTGCATAGATTCAGACTATCCCATACTCATGACGTATGCAACTAATAATGTCTATCAACCCATCATATTCATTTTACATACACTTTCATAGCTGCATTACAATCTATTCTTAGGCAGATAATACGAGGCATTGTCCGAGGGCTTTGTTGATAATAAAATCAGTAGCACAGTTGTTATTGCTACTTAGGCGTCAATGCTCACTTTAAGCCGATGCTTAAAGCCATCATGGTGTGCAGTGCATATCAATAAGTTGATGCCAATGCAAAAAGTAGGCTAGTTAGTGGTACTAGACTGAACTCTGTTTCCACTTGATTTGTGTACAATTCATCAAGCATGCGTCTGTTTTCCTCTTTTCTTTGGAGCTCCAATCTGTCACAGATCATTGCTGAAAACAAATATTATTTGAGGAAAACAACACAAATGCTAAATCAGGTATGATGTATAGAGTATACCATTCAATGAAAAACCCTGAGTGGTTGACACTCAAAGTGTGTGAAACACGCCTCTTAGTGTACAGGATTGTCAAACAAAAGAAAATTGGCCCAATTATATATAATTAGACAAAGTAGATCTTATGTATGCAACCTCTGCGTGAATATGTTTTGTCCCTCTTTTGCTGAACGATTAGGTGAGAGAAACCCAGAAAGGCACTTTACCTCACATTTGGCAGCTATGTTAGATGCCACTCGTATTTCTTTCGTCAACATAATGTAATTTTCCCGAAATGAGCTTCAAACAAGACAAATAATGAGTATTGGTTATCCTTTTGAAAAATGCACATTGATTTTGATGAAATGGGAAAGTGATACATTTGAGACTCAGTTGAGCCAGAATGAAATTAATATCAGGAATAGCTATGGGACAACCCTAGAAATATAGTAGTTTTGCCTATTATCGATAACTGCATATACATTTCGTTTAAAAACCATCTTATTTTCCCCCCAAAATTGTCTGGTCATATTGATTTGTCTAGGACTAGATTAAAGGTTTTGATAATCGATCAGGGCTTTTCTTAGAGATATTATATCATCAGCGTTGTTACCACGTAGTATAAGTTTTAATTTTAAAACTCTGAGAAAAGATGACATGATAAAGTATATTCATGTCATTAAAATACATTAAATGTTTTACACTTGATAAAAACACCTTATTTACAAATTGATATGTTATAAGTCACCAGCGATCATTTAAAGTTATAATCGTACACGTACACGCACACATACACATTTTCTTGAGAATAGAAAATTATCGATGTAAGCTTATAAACTCATTAAATACAGGTGTACACAATATTCTTTGTCATCATATTTTTCCTTTATATTAGCTTCAAGATATATTGAGAATTCATATTACCGTGGTGAAGATGGTTGTAAGAAAATACTTAAACTGTTTACTCGAGACTTAATATAACACGAG